GTATCGGGATAACCCACACTGCATCAAACATATCAAGATTTAACGTCAGACAAAAAGCAGTCTCATGTAGCTGATGAAACAGAATTCATCTGACGTAAAATTTACTCACTGTTTGTGAAAACAGTGAGCGACCTCCCTCAATTTACATAATGGAATATGCTTCAAAAACAGACACTGTCTGAAAACAACAACTATCAAAAGAATGTAAACTGCATCAAAACAGCTGAAACTACATTTACAACAACGAACAATAAATCGCATAGACATGCAAGAAACTGCATGTATAATGGAGGAACCGATTATACCACCAAGAAAGTGCATCTACTATCAAGAAACCGCAAATCCCTAACAGAACAACATTACAAGACCGGCCACGGACGGACAACACCAAAGTGATGGCACGGGTTTTTACCTTGATGCTGTCACAAATCTCCCCTTGATTTCTCAATAAATCGCAACTCTCTGCTCTTTAGATCTGCCACTGGCCTCTACAATGGCGTCTGTCCAGCCTGGTGACGACGTCCCGCGGCATGTCCGGTGTACAATCCTACAGTTCGTTTATCACAGAAACATCAACAATCACTCACGGCGTAGTCGTCTGGTGAGAGTGTCACGTGCAGGATGTCGTCTGCTCATCTCATACCAACACACTGCTTCCTAAAGATGACAGCCGGAAGTAGCCAACCTCACTTGCACCCTTCACTTTCGCCCGAATCAGAGACCCCGTGCAAGGGATGTATGTAAATGACACAAACATCTTTATATACTCCTTCTATGTGGCTTCCAGTGGTATGTGTGCAGTCCCCCTCATAATCTGGTACGCATCTAAGAATCCAACAAAGCGAAACGTTACCATTCTGCTGCTCTTTAATGTCCCCATCTCTTCATGCTAGTGCTCTTTAATGTCCTCATCTCTTCATGCTAGTGCTCTTTAATGTCCCCATCTCTTCATGCTAGTGCTCATTAATGTCCTCATCTCTTCATGCTAGTGCGCTTTAATGACCTCATCTCTTCATGCTAGTGCTCTTCAATGTCCTCATCTCTTCATGCTAGTGCTCTTCAATGTCCTCATCTCTTCATGCTAGTGCTCTTTAATATCCTCATCTCTTCATGCTAGTGCTCTTCAATGTCCTCATCTCTTCATGCTAGTGCTCTTCAATGTCCCCATCTCTTCATGCTAGTGCTCTTTAGTGTCCCCATCTCTTCATGCTAGTGCTCATTAATGTCCTCATCTCTTCATGCTAGTGCTCTTTAATGACCTCATCTCTTCATGCTAGTGCTCTTCAATGTCCTCATCTCTTCATGCTAGTGCTCTTCAGTGTCCTCATCTCTTCATGCTAGCGCTCTTCCATGTCCCCATCTCTTCATACTAGCGCTCTTCAATGTCCTCATCTCTTCATGCTAGTGCTCTTCAATGTCCCCATCTCACCATGCTATTGCTCTTCGATGTCCACATCGCTTCATGCCAGTGCTCTTTAATGTCCCCATCTCAACATGCTAGTGCTCTTCAATGTCCTCATCTCTTCATACTAGTGCTCTTCAATGTCCCCATCTCTTCATGTAAGTGCTCTTTAATGTCCTCATCTCTTCATGCTAGTGCTTTTCCATGTCCTCATCTTTTCATGCTAGTGCTCTTCAATGTCCCTATCCCTTCATGATAGTGCCCTTTAATGTCCCCATCTCACCATGCTAGTGCTCTTCAATGTCCCCATCTCTTCATGCTAGTGCTCTTTAGTGTCCCCATCTCTTCATGCTAGTGCTCTTCAATGTCCCCATCTCTTCATGCTAGTGCTCTTTAATGTCCTCATCTCTTGGTGCTAGTGCTCTTTAATGTCCCCATCTCACGATGCTAGTGCTATTCGATGTCCCCATCTCACGATGCTAGTGCTCTTTAATGTCCCCGTCTCACCATGCTAGTGCTCTTCAATGTCCCTATCTCTTCATGCTAGTGCTCTTTAATGTCCTCATCTCTTCATGCTAGTGCTCTTTAATCTCCCCATCTCTTCATGCTAATGCTCTTTAATGTCCTAATCTCTTCATGCTAGTGCTCTTTAATGTCCTCATCTCTTCATGCTAGTGCTCTTTAATGTCCTCATCTCTTCATGCTAGTGCTCTTTAATGTCCTCATCTCTTCATGCTAGTGCTCTTCGGTGCATTTATCATCATTGCTTTATGTGCTAGTGCTCTTCAATATCCCAATCAACATTACTCTACATGCTAGTGTTCTTCAGTCACAATATCACAACTGCTCTACATGTTAATGTTCTTCATTGACCATATCAATATTGCTTTACATGCTAGTGCTCTTTAATGTTCCTGCAAACATTGCTCGCACACTTCACCCTACCAACATTTAAACACATTCTTGATCCAAATACTAACATTCTTCACTCTACCAAGTGCACTGTGTATGTACAAGAGAGTGGCAGTCAATACAGTGCAATGTGTATGTACAAGAGAGAGGCAGTCAACTACAGTGCACTGTGTATGTACAAGAGAGCGAAAGTCAATACAGTGCACTGTGTATGTACAAGAGAGAGGCAGTCAACTTCAGTGCACTGTGTATGTACAAGAGAGAGGCAGTCAACTACAGTGCACTGTGTATGTACAAGAGAGCGACAGTCAACTACAGTGCACTGTGTATGTACAAGAGAGAGGCAGTCAACTACAGTGCACTGTGTATGTACAAGAGAGCGACAGCCAACTACAGTGCCTGTGTATGTACAAGAGAGCGACAGTCAATACAGTGCACTGTGTATGTACAAGAGAGCGACAGTCAACTACAGTACACTGTGTATGTACAAGAGAGCGACAGTCAACTACAGTGCACTGTGTATGTACAAGAGAGAGGCAGTCAACTACAGTGCACTGTGTATGTACAAGAGAGCGACAGTCAACTACAGTGCACTGTGTATGTACAAGAGAGAGGCAGTCAACTACAGTGCACTGTGTATGTACAAGAGAGAGGCAGTCAACTACAGTGCACAGTGTATGTACAAGAGAGAGACAGTCAACTACAGTGCACAGTGTATGTACAAGAGAGCGGCAGTCAACTACAGTGCACTGTGTATGTACAAGAGAGAGGCAGTCAACTACAGTGCACTGTGTATGTACAAGAGAGAGGCAGTCAACTACAGTGCACTGTGTATGTACAAGAGAGAGACAGTCAACTACAGTGCACTGTGTATGTACAAGAGAGAGGCAGTCAACTACAGTGCACTGTGTATGTACAAGAGAGAGACAGTCAACTACAGTGCAATGTGTATGTACAAGAGAGAGGCAGTCAACTACAGTGCACTGTGTATGTACAAGAGAGAGGCAGTCAACTACAGTGCACTGTGTATGTACAAGAGAGCGGCAGTCAACTACAGTGCACTGTGTATGTACAAGAGAGAGACAGTCTACAACAGTGCACTGTGTATGTATAAGAGAGAGACAGTCAACTACAGTGCCGCCCTGTGTATGTACAAGAGAGCGAAAGTCAACTACAGTGCAATGTGTATGTACAAGAGAGCGGCAGTCAACTACAGTGCACTGTGTATGTACAAGAGAGAGGCAATCAACTACAGTGCACTGTGTATGTACAAGAGAGGAAAGTCAACTACAGTGCACTGTGTATGTAGAAAGAGAGAGGCAGTCAACTACAGTGCACCTGTGTATGTACAAGAGAGGCAGTCAACTACAGTGCACTGTGTATGTACAAGAGAGCGACAGTCAACTACAGTGCACTGTGTATGTACAAGAGAGAGGCAGTCAACTACAGTGCACTGTGTATGTACAAGAGAGAGGCAGTCAACTACAGTGCACTGTGTATGTACAAGAGAGCGACAGTCAACTACAGTGCACTGTGTATGTACAAGAGAGAGGCAGTCAACTACAGTGCACTGTGTATGTACAAGAGAGAGGCAGTCAACCACAGTGCACTGTGTATGTACAAGAGAGAAGCAGTCAACTACAGTGCACTGTGTGTGTACAAGAGAGAGACAGTCAACTACAGTGCACTGTGTATGTACAAGAGAGAGGCAGTCAACTACAGTGCACTGTGTATGTACAAGAGAGCGACAGTCACTACACCACACTGTGTATGTACAAGAGAGCGACAGTCAACTACAGTGCACTGTGTATGTACAAGAGAGAGGCAGTCAACTACAGTGCACTGTGTATGTACAAGAGAGAGGCAGTCACTACACCACACTGTGTATGTACAAGAGAGCGGCAGTCAACTACAGTGCACTGTGTATGTACAAGAGAGAGGCAGTCACTACACCACACTGTGTATGTACAAGAGAGCGGCAGTCACTACACCACACTGTGTATGTACAAGAGAGCGACAGTCAACTACAGTGCACTGTGTATGTACAAGAGAGAGGCAGTCACTACACCACACTGTGTATGTACAAGAGAGCGGCAGTCACTACACCACACTGTGTATGTACAAGAGAGCGGCAGTCAACTACAGTGCACTGTGTATGTACAAGAGAGAGGCAGTCACTACACCACACTGTGTATGTACAAGAGAGCGGCAGTCAACTACACATGTACAAGAGAGAGGCAGTCAACTACAACTGTGTGTATGTACAAGAGAGAGGCAGTCAACTACAGTGCACTGTGTATGTACAAGAGAGAGGCAGTCAACTACAGTGCACTGTGTATGTACAAGAGAGCGGCAGTCACTACACCACACTGTGTATGTACAAGAGAGAGGCAGTCAACTACAGTGCACTGTGTATGTACAAAAGAGCGGCAGTCAACTACAGTGCACTGTGTATGTACAAGAGAGAGGCAGTCACTACACCACACTGTGTATGTACAAGAGAGCGGCAGTCACTACACCACACTGTGTATGTACAAGAGAGAGGCAGTCACTACACCACACTGTGTATGTACAAGAGAGAGGCAGTCACTACACCACACTGTGTATGTACAAGAGAGAGGCAGTCACTACACCACACTGTGTATGTACAAGAGAGCGGCAGTCACTACACCACACTGTGTATGTACAAGAGAGCGGCAGTCACTACAGTGGGAAGTTCCTGACTCACACAGGAAACCCTGGGTGGTACAGATAACTTTCTTCGACCGACCAGGAAATTAATTAAATACCACTCAAATACCGCCATGAAACTGAATTCATTGTTGCACGAAAATTAGATACGCCATTTCTATGTAAAGTGAATGTGAGTTAGAGATGCTACCAAGGGACCGTCTCCATGTCGTGGCGCTGATGTTGACTGCGCTCGCCTCCATATTTCAGTGTGTGGGTGTGCTGTTCCCCAACTGGTGGGTGTTGAAGGATACTTCCACGAAGAACGTTGTGGCCACGTTCTCACTATTCGGTCCGGTGAGATGCAGTGACAATCTTTGTTTCCCGGAGGATGTTCGAGTGATCTCTGTACCTGAAGGCATGACGCCTCCGTCAGCCGTACCTAACGACAACGCAGGTGAGTAACGAGATATCCCAACACATACCTAATACACCCACCTGCACACGTAATACACTTATCTACATATACCTAGCACACCCAGCTACACATGCCTAGAACACCCACCTACACATACCTAGCACACCCAGCTACACATGCCTAATACACCCACCTACATATAAATAGAACACCCAGCTACACATGCCTAATACACCCACCTACATATAAATAGAACACCCAGCTACACATGCCTAATACACCCACCTTCACACGAAATACAGTTATCTACATATACCTAGCACACCCAGCTACACATGCCTACCACACCCAGCTACATATACCTAGCACACCCAGCTACACATGCCTAGAACACCCAGCTACATATACCTAGCACACCCAGCTACACATGCCTACCACACCCACCAACGCCAAGACACACCTAATACACCCACCTACACCTACCTAGCACTATGTATGTCGAACTAAGATTCAATGTCACACACACTTACACATATGTACACCCACAAACACTGACAGACCTTACAGTCTTTCTCACACAGATACACTCACTCACAATCCACACAAACTCTCTTCTGACACAGCCCCCACTTTAACACACACACATCAGACACCACGCAAATCACAAACCCAGCACACACGCTTCCATCCCAGAGCAGGAAGACAGAGTTCTCGTGGCTGCAGCATGAGGTCATCGTGACTGCCACAGTGATGAGGCTCACGTCCCGTCACGGAGGGCATACTCGACAGGAAGACACGTTTGGACTGCACTGGACAGCCAACGGCAGGACTCCAACAGCTTTCACTGGCCTCCCGTCACGGAGGGCATACTCGACAGGAAGACACGCTTGGACTGCACTGGACAGCCAATGGCTGGACTCCAACACCTTTCACTGGCCTCCCGTCACGGAGGGCATACTCGACAGGAAGTCACGCTTGGACTGCACTGGACAGCCAATGACTGGACTCCAACACCTTTCACTGGCCTCCCGTCACGGAGGGCATACTCGACAGGAAGACACGCTTGGACTGCACTGGACAGCAAATGGCTGGACTCCAACACCTTTCACTGGCGTTTCGAGATATTGCCGAGGCCTCACAGAGCGTTGTGCATTAGTGTTACGTAGTTCAGGAGAAAGACTTCAAGATTCAAACCTAAACAAACACAACCTCCAGATACCTCCAGATGCCCCCAGATGCCTCCAGATAGCTCTAAACGCCTCCAGATGCTACCTACAGACACCTCCAGATACCTCCAAATACCTCTAGATACCTCCAGATGCTACCTCCAAATACCTCCAGATGCTATCTCCACATACCTCCAGATATCTCCAGATACCTCCAGATTCCTCCAGATGCTACCTCCAGATACCTCTAGATACCTCCAGATACCCCCAGATGCCTATAGATACCTCAAGATACCTACAGATGCTACCTCCACATACCTCCAGATGCTACCTCCAGATACCTCCAGGTACCTCCAGATGCCTCTAGATACCCCCAAATACCTCCAGATGCCTCTATATACCTCCAGATACCTCCATAAGCCTCTAGATGCCTCTAGATAGATCTAGATACCTCCAGATATCTAAAGATGCTACATCCAGATACCTCCAGATGCCTCCAGATGCTACCTCCACATAACTCCAGATGCCCCACATGCCTCCAGATTCCTCTAGATGCCGTCAGATGCTACCTCCAGATACCTCCAAATACCTCTAGATACCTCCAGATGCTACCTCCACATACCTCCAGATGCTACCTCCAGATACCTCCAGGTACCTCCAGATGCCTCTATATACCTCCAGATACCTCCATAAGCCTCCAGATAGATCTAGATACCTCCAGATCCTACCTCCAGATACCTAAAGATGCTACCTCCCGATACCTCAAAATACCCCTAGATGCCTCCGGATACCTCCATAAGCCTCCAGATAAATCTAGATACCTCCATATGCTACCTAAAGACGCTACCTCCAGATACCTCCAGATGCCTCCAGGTGCTTCCTCCAGATACCGCCAAATACCCCTAGATGCCTCGCGATATCTCCAGATACCTCCAGATACCTCCAGATACCTCCAGATACCTCCAGATACCCCCAAATACCCCCAGATACCCCCAGATGGCTCCACATACCTTCAGATGCCTCCACATACCTCCAGATGCCTCCAGATACCTCCAGATACCCCCAGATACCTCCAGATATCCCCCCAGATACCCCCAGATGCCTCCAGATATCCACATACCTCCCAGATACCCCTCCAGATACCTCCCACCCCCACATACCTCCAGATACCCCCAGATACCCCATATGCCCCAGAGACACCTCCAGATACTCTCCAGATACCCCCCAGATACCTAGATACCCACATGCCCCCCCAGATACCCCATATACCCCCAGATACCTCCAGATACCCCCACATACCTCCACATACCTCCACATACCACCAGATACCCCCAGATACCCCCAGATACCCCAGATACCCCCAGACACCCCCAGATACCCCCAGATACCTCCAGATACCCCTAGATACCCAGATGCCCCCAGATACCTCCAGATACCCCCACATTCCTCCACATACCTCCACATACCTCCACATACCTCCTGTGCTGTTTTCTGGCAATGCTACGCTTGTGTGGCGCGTGTGGCGCGTGTGGCGAGGGATGGCTGTTCATTGGCTTTTTCAACAGACGCACACAACGTGCCATGTTGCCTTTTAACATGGTCGTCGTTTGAAACCTCCGAGGAGCATAATTACGTAACACAATGACGTTATTAACAACGCATAGAAACTGTATGAAAAACGCGTTTGATAAAGAGAGCAACTGCCTTCATCGTTGTGTACATGTGGCAAAGAACAATTTAACTACCCAGTCCCCCGGATGTAAACAAAGGAACAATCATTAACTGTAGGGAACTACACCAATGTAATACCTTTCACATTCCAAATAAGGAAAACGCGCGGAACATCCAGCCTTGTTCCATTCAGTGTCATTAATTCACTTCTGCATTTCGTCTTCAGTAAGTACACAAAATATCTCCTCCCTGAAGGAGCAATCTAAACAGCTGCAGCAGCAAGGGAATCAGTGTTGTTTCCAAGCTGGATATTAACATTTGGTGTTTACGTTATTCAATCATGGCTTCGTGAGATACTGGACTGGACATTTGAGAGATGCGTGGTATTTTATGGCAGCTTCACACTTCCACCCACGACAACACTCACATAAACACTGTTGTAAACAATACGGTCTGATACGGCCTTTCATTAATCTCCAACTCACTCACTCACTCACCCACTCACTCAACCACCCACCCACCCGTCCACCCACCCAAAACTCACCCACCCACCCACCCACCCACTCACCACCCACTCACTCACACACACTCACTCACCACCCACCCAGCCACCCCCGCTCGCTCGCTCACTCACTCACTCACTCACTCACTCACTCACTCACTCACTCACTCACTCACTCACTCACTCACTCACAACTCACTCACTCACTCACTCACTCACTCACTCACTCGCATTTGGGTACGATGTTCAAGTATCTGGTATTTGGGTACGATGTACAGGTATTTGGTATTTGGGTACGATGTGCACGTATGGCATGAGGGTATGTGGTGTTGGGTAAAAGCTTTATCTGGTGTTAAGAGGGATCTGGTAGCGAGGTTTTGGGTGTGGGGTTGGGTTGTTCGAGTATTTATTAAGGGGTGGGTGTTACTGGTTTGTCGGTATCGGTTCTGATATGGGGTACTTGGGTTTGGGGATATCTAACAGAACGGTATGCAGTATCGGGATGTCTACTGGGAGCACGTTGTATCAAGGTGTATCGACGACATACTATTCCATGTGGATTAATGTATGTGGCATGTTCCAAGTGTCTGTGTCTCTGTTCTCAGCCTGGTTGACGGTGGGCCGGATACTGAGTGTCGTTGGAGTCACCCTCGTCCTGGCGACTGTAGTGCTTCAACTGATCTTCCTCAAGGCCAGCTACCGCGCGCTACAGCTGGTCGCCAACTCCTTCCTGGTCACTGCAGGTAAGGTCATAGTGCTGCAGCCAGAAACACTGGCCAGTCTTAATGTGAAGGAGCTACAGTGTTATAAACCTTGATACTGAATTACTGACAAAATAACAGGGCTAAAGTCCAGAATCTACAGCGTCGAGTGATCTGTTCACCATAGAGTCGAGTGATCTGTTCACCATAGAGTCGAGTGATCTGTTCACCATAGAGTCGAGTGATCTGTTCACCATAGAGTCGAGTGATCTGTTCACCATAGAGTCGAGTGATCTGTTCACCATAGAGTCGAGTGATCTGTTCACCATAGAGTCGAGTGGTCTGTTGATGAGATGTTTGTTGGTGCACATTGAATCAGCATTTTGGCTACATTACACAATGGAATCTTGATCACATGTGGCACCAGTGGTTGCCAGATGACACACAATCAGTCAGGTCACTGGACCTGTCTACCCTAAACAGTGTAGTCTCGACACTTAAGGTTGAACATGTGCAGGGTCCTGTGACAGTAACATCTGCCCGACAGCATTATACTTTACACCCGAAAGGCCAGTGCTAATACTCTGAATGTTACAGATTTCACCATGAATGTCAGATCAAACTGTCAACGTGTTGTAGTTTCACCCTGAAGGTCAGGTCAAACTGTCAACGTGTTGTAGATTTCACCCTGAAGGTCAGATCTGGCTGTCAAAGTGTTGTAGATTTCTCCCTGAAGGTCAGATATGACTGTCAAAGTGTTGTAGTTTACACCCTGAAGGTCAGATTAGACTGTCAACGTGTTGTAGATTTCACCCTGAAGGTCAGATATGACTCTCAAAATGTTGTAGATTTCACCCTGAAGGTCAGATCTGGCTGTCAGAGTGTAGATTTCACCCTGAAGGTCAGATCTGGCTGTCAAAGTGTTGTAGATTTCACACTGAAGGTCAGATCTGGCTGTCAAAGTGTTGTAGTTTACACCCTGAAGGTCAGATCTGGCTGTCAAAGTGTTGTAGATTTCACCCTGAAGGTCAGATATGACTGTCAAAGTGTTGTAGATTTCACCCTGAAGGTCAGATCTGGCTGTCAAAGTGTTGTAGATTTCTCCCTGAAGGTCAGATATGACTGTCAAAGTGTTGTAGTTTACACCCTGAAGGTCAGATTAGACTGTCAACGTGTTGTAGATTTCACCCTGAAGGTCAGATATGACTGTCAAAGTGTTGTAGTTTACACCCTGAAGGTCAGATCTGGCTGTCAGAGTGTAGATTTCACCCTGAAGGTCAGATCTGGCTGTCAAAGTGTTGTAGATTTCACCCTGAAGGTCAGATATGACTGTCAAAGTGTTGTAGTTTACACCCTGAAGGTCAGATATGACTGTCAAAGTGTTGTAGTTTACACCCTGAAGGTCAGATATGACTGTCAAAGTGTTGTAGATTTCACACTGAAGGTCAGATATGACTGTCAACGTGTTGCAGATTTCACCCTGAAGGTCAGATCTGGCTGTCAAAGTGTTGTAGATTTCTCCCTGAAGGTCAGATATGACTGTCAAAGTGTTGTAGTTTACACCCTGAAGGTCAGATTAGACTGTCAACGTGTTGTAGATTTCACCCTGAAGGTCAGATATGACTCTCAAAGTGTTTTAGATTTCACCCTGAAGGTCTGATCTGGCTGTCAGAGTGTAGATTTCACACTGAAGGTCAGATCTGAATGTCAAAGTGTTGTAGTTTACACCCTGAAGGTCAGATCTGGCTGTCAAAGTGTTGTAGATTTCACCCTGAAGGTCAGATATGACTGTCAAAGTGTTGTAGATTTCACCCTGAAGGTCAGATCTGGCTGTCAAAGTGTTGTAGATTTCTCCCTGAAGGTCAGATATGACTGTCAAAGTGTTGTAGTGTACACCCTGAAGGTCAGATTAGACTGTCAACGTGTCGTAGATTTCACACTGAAGGTCAGATCTGGCTGTCAGAGTGTAGATTTCACCCTGAAGGTCAGATCTGGCTGTCAAAGTGTTGTAGATTTCACACTGAAGGTCAGATATGACTGTCAAAGTGTTGTAGTTTACACCCTGAAGGTCAGATCTGGCTGTCAAAGTGTTGTAGTTTACACCCTGAAGGTCAGATATGACTGTCAAAGTGTTGTAGATTTCACCCTGAAGGTCAGATATGACTGTCAACGTGTTGCAGATTTCACCCTGAAGGTCAGATATGACTCTCAAAGTGTTTTAGATTTCACCCTGAAGGTCAGATCTGGCTGTCAGAGTGTAGATTTCACCCTGAAGGTCAGATCTGGCTGTCAAAGTGTTGTAGATTTCACCCTGAAGGTCAGATATGACTGTCAAAGTGTTGTAGATTTCACCCTGAAGGTCAGATATGACTGTCAAAGTGTTGTAGTTTATACACTGAAGGTCAGATCTGGCTCTCAAAGTGTTGTAGATTTCACCCTGAAGGTCATATCTGGCTGTCAAAGTGTTGTAGATTTCACCCTGAAGGTCAGATCTGGCTGTCAAAGTGTTGTAGATTTCACCCTGAAGGTCTGATCTGGCTGTCAAAGTGTTGTAGATTTCACCCTGAAGGTCAGATCTGGCTGTCAAAGTGTTGTAGATTTCACCCTGAAGGTCAGATCTGGCTGTCAAAGTGTTGTAGATTTCACCCTGAAGGTCAGATATGACTGTCAAAGTGTTGTAGATTTCACCCTGAAGGTCAGATATGACTGTCAAAGTGTTGTAGATTTCTCCCTGAAGGTCAGATATGACTGTCAAAGTGTTGTAGATTTCACCCTGAAGGTCAGATATGACTGTCAAACTGTTGTAGTTTATACCCTGAAGGTCAGATATGACTGTCAAAGTGTTGTAGATTTCACCCTGAAGGTCAGATATGACTGTCAAAGTGTTGTTGATTTCACCCTGAAGGTCAGATATGACTGTCAAAGTGTTGTAGATTTTTCCCTGAAGGTCAGATATGACTGTCAAAGTGTTGTAGATTTCACCCTGAAGGTCAGATATGACTGTCAAACTGTTGTAGTTTATACCCTGAAGGTCAGATATGACTGTCAAAGTGTTGTAGATTTCACCCTGATGGTCAGATATGACTGTCAAAGTGTTGTAGATTTCACCCTGAAGGTCAGATATGACTGTCAAAGTGTTGTAGATTTCACCCTGAAGGTCAGATATGACTGTCAAAGTGTTGTAGTTTACACCCTGAAGGTCAGATATGACTGTCAAAGTGTTGTAGTTTACACCCTGAAGACCAGGACAGTTAACCTGAATATTCTTCTCACATTAATCCTTTTCTATTTTCAGCTACCGTCAGCTTTATCACAGGATTCTTTTTCATCTTCAAGTTCGTAACTCTCACTGAGGCTTATGTAAATCTGCGGCCGCTAGGCGCTGACACATACCCGGCAGCACCCGGATGTATATTGTTCTCGGGTGTCATCTGCGCTGTGGCTGCACTCTTCACCACCCTGGCGTTCAAACCACCCCGTAAAGCTGCCATTCTTATTTGAGCGGGTCCACTTGAGCGGGTCCACTTGAGCGTCGTGTAATCGTCACTTTCACACCGTCATGTACACAAATAAGCTTGTTGTTAGTTCTCACACATTCCAAAACATTCTTGTTTAACAACCGCTGATCTTCCGAGTGTTGGACAAGTTGGTCCTTCATGAGTATACTCTGATGCGAGAGATTTCTGTTTGACGAATTTATGGTGGACATGCAAATAAAAGATCACATCAAAGAACCCGAGTGGCTTATTTCTTACTGCGTCTACTGACCAGACAACCCACATCGTTATAAATCGTCATGTTTCAATGTGCTTCTGAGGCCCACATAACCATTGTCTCACAGTGACTTACATCTGTCTTACACCCCTGTCTTATCTGCCAGTATCTCGCCTACCTCCCTGTCTTATCTGCCAGTATCTCTCCTACCTCCCTGTCTTATCTGTCAGTATCTCTCCTACCTCCCTGTCTTATCTGTCAGTATCAGTCTTACATCCCTGTCTTATCTGTCAGTATCTGTCTTACATCCCTGTCTTATCTGTCAGTATCTGTTTTACATCCCTGTCTTATCTGCCAGTATCTGTTTTACATCCCTGTCTTATCTGTCAGTATCTGTCCTACCCCCCTGTCTTTTCTGTCAGTATCTGTTTTACATCCCTGTCTTATCTGCCAGTATCTGTTTTACATCCCTGTCTTATCTGCCAGTATCTGTCCTACATCCCTGTCTTATCTGTCAGTATCTGTTTTACATCCCTGTCTTATCTGTCAGTATCTGTCTTACCCGCATTTATTACAAGCAACCTTTATTCGCTCACAATGCCTTACATCCCTGTCTGATCTGTCAGTATCTGTCTTACATGCATTTATTACAAGTAACCTTTATTCTCTCACAATGTCTTACATCCCTGTCTGATCTATCAGTATCTGTCTTACATGCATTTATTACAAGTAACCTTTATTCTCTCACAATGTCTTACATCCCTGTCTGATCTATCAGTATCTGTCTTACATGCATTTATTACAAGTAACCTTTATTCTTTCACACATGTCTTACATCCCTGTCTTATCTGTCAGTATCTGTCTTACATGCATTTATTACAAGTAACCTTTATTCTTTCACACATGTCAGGGTTAGCAATCAACAACTTTACAGGTGAACAATTCACCCCTTTTAGTCAACCATTTTCTCTCCCCATATGCCACATGTTACAGGTGAACAATCCACCCCTTTTAGTCAACCATTTTCTCCCCATCTGCCACATGTTACAGGTGAACAATCCACCCCTTTAGTCAACCATTTCCTCTCACCATCTGCCACATGTTACAGGTGAACAATCCACCCCTTTAGTCAACCATTTCCTCTCACCATCTGCCACATGTTACAGGTGAACAATCCACCCCTGTTTGCCAACCATTACCTCTCACCATCTGTTACATGTGACAGGTGAAAAATCCACCCAGTACGCCACTACATCGCACATCGTCAACTTTTCCTCCGTCAAATATTCAGTTTACCAAATAACAATCCCCCCACCCTCACCCTCACCTCCCTCACCCCAACACACACCCACACACATTATTTTCCGGCGCAGTGAGTCTCATGCACAGCTCCAGCCTCTACTGATATATGTCATGTTATCTATCCATATATTACAGTCTCTGCTTGACTGTTGAGAGGCTTTGGGCAGCTCCCAGGAAAATTCAATATTTGGCGAAAATATAGATCAAATAAGATGAAAGAGACAATATGTTGACAGGGATATTTTTGAAGTCGTATACAAATATGAGGTGAACTGACCCTCAAGGGGAAGGGAATCTTATGTTGACATTGCCAGGAGGTAAGACAAATTGATATGTGATGCTCTTCAGGAAATACGCAAGGTCCCAGTACTAAACGTACGCGTATCTGAATATTTTATCATTTAACTTCGATAGCAGTAAATAAATCACATGATTATACATCAAAAGTATGTCCTATAAAGCAAGCGGCACCTCACACACTGGCACTTCCAACCAGCACACAGAAATATCGTGATACGTGACTAGTGATCTCCTCGAGTCGCCAGATTCATCACTAGTGATGTCCTCACAACATAGTCAGATACATCACTGGCAATCTCACAACATGCTCAGATACATCACTGGTGATCTCACAACACCATGAGGTACTTTACAAAAACTATCACATCTGTCTTTACATATCACCAAATACCTAATCTTAATACATGCTGGACAAGACATGCTTTTGCTCATGTAAATATACCCACTCTTGCCTGTCCTCAGAAACAGATTATATTTGATACATAGGCCCAAACAGCTGTGAAAGTAAGCCACTAAACTAAGTAATGACAAGCAGCAGTGTCACACAACCTGCCTGAAACAGTAGGCATAGCACAACAGAACTATTATCAATAAATATATCTGTCTAGATACTTAATACAGGTTGTCTCTATGTAACGGCAGCTGTGATTCCAGGTGTAGTCATGTGTATTACGCGTGTTCGTACATGTAGGTAGATCCGGCGTATTACGGGTGTCGGTGTGTCTTATTGCATGTAAAGTCACCCCATAAGTATTACGGGTGTCGGTGTGTCTTATTGCATGTAAAGTCACCCCATAAGTATTACGGGTGTCGGTGTGTCTTATTGCATGTAAAGTCACCCCATAAGTATTACGGGTGTCGGTGTGTCTTATTGCATGTAAAGTCACCCCATAAGTATTACGGGTGTCGGTGTGTCTTATTGCATGTAAAGTCACCCCATAAGTATTACGGGTGTCGGTGTGTCTTATTGCATGTAAAGTCACCCCATAAGTATTACGGGTGTCGGTGTGTTTTTATACATGTAAAGTCATGTCGGGTGTATTACGGGTGTCACTATGTGTTAGTACATGTAAAGTCACGTCATAAGTGACTCGGGTGTCGGAATGTGTTAGTACATGTAAAGTCACGTCATAAGTATTACGGGTGTCACTATGTGTTAGTACATGTAAAGTTACGTCATAAGTATTACGGGTGTCGGTATGTGTTAGTACATGTAAAGTCACGTCATAAGTATTACGGGTGTCGGTATGTGTTAGCACATGTAAAGTCACTCCATAAGAATTACGGGTGTGTGCTATGGTCCGGTCCGGTCGGGTGTGCTATGGTCAGGTCCGGTCGGGTGTGCTATGGTCAGGTTAGGTCGGGTGTGCTATGGTCAGGTCAGGTCGGGTGTGCTATGGTCAGGTCAGGTCGGGTGTGCAATGGTCAGGTCAGGTCGGGTGTCCTATGGTCAGGTCACTTCGGGTGTGCTATGGTCAGGTCAGGTCGGGTGTGCTATGGTCAGGTCAGGTCGGGTGTGCTATGGTCAGGTCAGGTCGGGTGTCCTATGGTCAGGTCACTTCGGGTGTGCTATGGTCAGGTCGGGTGTGCTATGGTCCGGTCAGGTCGGGTGTGCTATGGTCCGGTCAGGTCGGGTGTGCTATGGTCCGGTCAGGTAGGGTGTGCTATGGTCAGGTCGGGTGTGCTATGGTCCAGTCAGGTCAAGGTGTGCTATGGTCAGGTCGGGTGTGCTATGGTCAGGTCAGGTCGGGTGTGCTATGGTCCGGTCCGGTCGGGTGTCTTATGGTCCGGTCAGGTCGGGCGGCTATGGTCAGGTCAGGTCAGGTGTGCTATGGTCCGGTCAAGTCGGGTGTGCTATGGTCAGGTCAGGTCGGGTGTGCTGTGGTCAGGTCGGGTGTGCTATGGTCCGGTCAGGTCGGGTGTGCTATGGTCAGGTCGGTGTGCTATGGTCCGGTCAGGTCGGGTGTGCTATGGTCAGGTCGGGTGTGCTATATGGTCAGGTCAGGTCAGGGTGTGCTATGGTCAAGGTCAGGTCGGGTGTCCTATGGTCAGGTCAGGTCAGGTGTGCTATGGTCAGGTCATGTCGGGTGTGCTATGGTCCGGTCAGGTCGGGTGTCCTATGGTCCGGTCAGGTCGGGTGTGCTGTGGTCAGGTCGGGTGTGCTATGGTCAGGTCAGGTCGGGTGTGCTATGGTCAGGTCAGGTCGGGTGTCCTATGGTCAGGTCACTTCGGGTGTGCTATGGTCAGGTCAGGTGTGCTATGGTCAGGTCAGGTCGGGTGTGCTATGGTCAGGTCAGGTCGGGTGTGCTATGGTCCGGTCAGGTAGGGTGTGCTATGGTCAGGTCAGGTCGGGTGTGCTATGGTCCGGTCAGGTCGGGTGTGCTATGGTCCGGTCAGGTCGGGTGTGCTATGGTCAGGTCAGGTCGGGTGTTCTATGGTCAGGCCAGGTCGTGGTGTGCTATGGTCCGGTCAGGTCAGGTGCGCTATGGTCCGGTCAGGTCTGGGGTGTGCTATGGTCAGGTCAGGTCGGGTGTCCTATGGTCAGGTCAGGTCGGGTGTGCTATGGTCAGGTCAGGTCGGGTGTGCTATGGTCAGGTCAGGTCGGGTGTCCTATGGTCAGGTCACTTCGGGTGTGCTATGGTCAGGTCGGGTGTGCTATGGTCCGGTCAGGTAGGGTGTGCTATGGTCAGGTCAGGTCGGGTGTGCTATGGTCCGGTCAGGTAGGGTGTGCTATGGTCAGGTCAGGTCGGGTGTGCTATGGTCCGGTCAGGTCGGGTGTGCTGTGGTCAGGTCGGGTGTGCTATGGTCCGGTCAGGTCGGGTGTGCTATGGTCAGGTCAGGTCGGGTGTGCTATGGTCAGGTCGGGTGTGCTATGGTCAGGTCATGTCGGGTGTGCTATGGTCAGGTCGGGTGTGCTATGTGTGTCGCTGTGTGCTACCGCATGTAAAGTCAGGTCATGTGTATTACTTTTGCTTTTGAGGCAAGGAATAAGATGCACATTAATTTCATTTTAAGGGACATATATTCTAAAATCTTGGTTTCAGTTCGACATTCTCTTTCGTCAATCGGTGGATCTGTTGAATCATTAAGTGGCGTACGTCACTGTTGCATATTAAGTCCGTTTCTTTTTGCGATGTTAATAACAGAGTTTCAGGCTATGCTGCAGATTTCAGGTCTGAGCGGTATCTTTGTTGGGTCAAATAATGCTGATTTACTTCTGTTGTTGCATGCTGATGATCTTAATTTATTTGATGGTACTGTGACAGACTTACAGAGAAAGATAGATATTTTACATAAGTAGTGTAGCTCTTGGGATCAGGAGGTTAATATGGATAAGACGGAGGTTTGGGTATTTCACAATGCTTGTTTTCTTTGTTCTATGAAAAATGCTTTTACAATGGCATTCCAGTTAAAACATCAACATACTAGATAATTCCCTTGGTATTCTATTTTCTACTCGGTTGTGCTGGACAAAGTATACACATACTCTAGTTGGTAAAGCCAGTAGAGTAAATTAAAATGTTTTTGCGTTTCACTTGTCGTTTAACAAAACCTCAAGTTCGATAATATTTATCATAAACTAAGCCATCCCGAGTTATCTCCCTTTATGACCGTTCAGGAAAAGCCATGGCAAAACGTTTTGTGTCTCATTCTGCCGAAAATTGAATGCTGGTTTGTAAAGATAAGCTAAATAAAGAAATCTTAAGGGTAATAAATTCGTCACACAATGTTTTGAAAGGGTGTACGGGACTGTAAGTCCCTTGTAAATTCCGTATTTCATGAGGCGCAGTCACGTTCACCCTTTCAAAGCACCATGTAACTAATAGTAAATCCGTGTAAAAATTCTGTATATCCGGGTAACGTTTTTGTATAACCGTGTAACGTTTCTGTATATCCATGTAACGTTTCTGTACATCCGTGTAACGTTTCTGTATATCCATGTAACGTTTCTGTATATCCAAGTAACGTTTCTGTATATCCGTGTAACGTTTCTATATATCCAAGTAACGTTTCTGTATATCCATGTAACGTTTCTGTACATCCGTGTAACGTTTCTCTATATCCAAGTAACGTTTCTATATATCCATGTAACGTTTCTGTATATCCGTGTAACGTTTCTCTATATCCGTGTCACGTTTCTGTATATCCGTGTAACGTTTCTGTATATCCATGTAACGTTTATGTATATCGGTGTAACGGTTATGTATATCCGTGTAACGTTTCTGTATATCCAAGTAACGTTTCTATAAATCCATGTAACGTTTCTGTATATCCGTGTAACGTTTCTGTATATCCGTGTAACGTTTCTGTATATCCATGTAACGTTTCTGTATATCCGTGTCACGTTTCTGTATATCCGTGTAACGTTTCAGTATATCAATGTAACGGTTCTGTATATCCGTGTAGCGTTTCTGTATATCCATGTAACGTTTCTGTATATCGGTGTAACGTTTCTGTATATCCGTGTAACGTTTCTGTATATCCTTGTTACTCATAGTAAATACATGTAACGTTTCTGTATATCCGTGTAACGTTTCTGTATATCCAAGTAACGTTTCTATATATCCACGTAACGTTTCTGTATATCTGTGTAACGTTTCTGTATATCCGTGTAACGTTTCTGTATATCGGTGTAACGTTTATGTATATCCGTGTAACGTTTATGTATATCCGTGTAACGTTTCTGTATATCCGTGTCACGTTTCTGTATATCCGTGTCACGTTTCTGTATATCCATGTAACGTTTCTGTATATCCGTGTCACGTTTCTGTATATCCGTGTAACGTGTCAGTATATCAATGTAACGCTTCTGTATATCCGTGTAGCGTTTCTGTATATCCATGTAACGTTTCTGTGTATCCGTGTAACGTTTCTGTTAAGCCATGTAATGTTTCTGTATATCCATTTAACGTTTCTGTATATCCAAGTAACGTTTCTGTATATCCGTGTAACGTTTCTGTATATCAATGTAACGTTTCTGTATATCAATGTAACGTTTCTGTATATCCGTGTCACGTTTCTGTATACCCGTGTAACGTTTTCTGTTTAGCCATGTAATGTTTCTGTATATCCATTTAACGTTTCTGTATATCCAAGTAACGTTTCTGTATATCCGTGTAACGTTTCTGTATATCAATGTAACGTTTCTGTATATCAATGTAACGTTTCTGTAACGTTTCTTTATATCCATGTAATGTTTCTGTATATCCATGTAACGTTTCTATATATCCATGTAATGTATCTGCATATCCATGTAACGTTTCTGTACATCCGTGTAACGTTTCTGTATATCCGTGTAACGTTTCTGTATATACAAATAACGTTTCTGTATATCCATATATCGTGTCTCCTTGTCCATGTATCGTGTCTGCATGTCCACGTATCGTGTCTCCATGTCCATGTATCGTGTCTGCATGTCCACGTATCGTGTCTGCATGTCAATGTATCGTGTCTGCATGTCAATGTATCGTGTCTGCATGTCCACGTATCGTGTCTGCATGTCCACGTATCGTGTCTGCATGTCCATGTATGGTGTCTGCATGTCCATGTATCGTGTCTGCATGTCCACGTATCGTGTCTGCATGTCTATGTATCGTGTCTGCATGTCTATGTATCGTGTCTGCATGTCCACGTATCGTGTCTGCATGTCCATGTATCGTGTCTGCATGTCCATGTATCGTGTTTGCACATCCTAGTAACCCCTTGTTTATAATTTACTTCCACTAAATGCATGTTTTTATTTCTGCACACCCAGACCTGACCAAGCAGCCTCTAACTTGTTACACTTACATTGGGCTACCTCGTATCTGTCCATATTAAGGGAACTAGAGCCGCGGCTAATAATAGGCTTATGATGTTTGTAATGTTAATACTATTTTTGTTGTATATTTGATCCCCTGATCCCAGAGTAAACACTCTTCACTTCCCTCTTCCATGCTTCCCGCCCTGCGACTTCCTCACGTACAGTGAGTCGTGTCAGCCACCTGGCGACACGCCTGGCCCCGCTACCACTGCTCAATCCAGCCACCAGGCTCTTACGTCCATCCCCCCCTGACGTGGCCGTAGACCGCCCGGATCTGTGCACCAACTGCCGACCAGTCAGTCGGCTGTTCTCGTCCTGCAACACACTACCTCTGTTGACTGCTGCACCGCTGATCTAAACTTATGGAACTTCATTCGTTCGAAACGTCAGGCTTTCTAAACTGAAGCTGTTCAACAATGTAGCTGTGAAGAAGATCCACCTACATTAATGTGAGACATTTGTGGCAAGTACTTGATACATACACTCGCAATCTAAAGCAATCCATTTAGAATGCTGTCAATAGATCTGGTGGCTATGTTTCTGGCGTCTCTATCCATTGCCTTCCAACTATCTGGCCTGCTCACGCCTGGCTGGTGGATCGTCGAGCCCCGTCCCCCTTCCAACCTCACAGTCAAATATGGAATATGGAGGACAATATCATGTGTGGCTGATGACTGCAACGAGAAGGTCACAGATGCCACCGGCACCTTCGGTAAGTTTACACCGCAGGACTTGCAACATAACTAAGTTAACTTTACCATAGCCCTTCCCAGCAGCCAGGGTAGTCTGTCGTACAGACCCTGAAGCAAATATATCCAAGAAAGGCCACGCAAGTCTAGAAAATGTGGCAAGTCTAGATTTCCTCAGCTTCTGAAAATGAAGAAAGTCTCAGGGCTCCTTTTCATCATATTTTTTATTTACTATGAACCTTTTTCAGTAAAATATGTTCATTTCAGAGACTAGTTGTTAGTCTACAGCCAGGGTTGTACTGCTCGATATCGACAATGTCCATGAGCCTGGTAGACGAATCACTATCAAGTAGTGATGGGTACAGGTGTTCGTGAAGCGTATCCTGCACCCTAGATGGCATCCTCCACATACACACGCGACGGCTAGTCAATTATTCACCTCCAACACACGGGAACGTTTGTCACGACGTGGAATTACATCAGACATCACCATTGCCATCCATGCCTCAGATGGGGAAATGATCCCCTCATGTCTACCATAAAGCGTTTTGAAAGATTTACTGAGGCCTTAGAAGGTGAAACCATGACCGAGCAACGTCTCAGCAAGAGTCGTATGACGCTCTTTGAAATCTTGGTGATTAAAACATGCATGAACACTGATGCAAAACACTTGATCGTAAATTCAGCACAGAACGCACTGTGCCGACTGTAGACACAGACTCCTCTACGTCCACTCACATAACGTCCGCATAGTTTTTAATACATCTCATTGAACACATCAACACTATTTGTTAATCAGCATCCCGCTAAAAGCAGTATATCAATAGTGTCCCAGTAACAGTATCATGTCAATAGTGTCCCAGTAATATTATCATATCAATAGTGTCCCAGTAACATCATCATATCAATAGTGTCCCAGTAACAGTATCATATCAATAGTGTCCCAGTAACATTATCACATCAATAGTGTCCGAGTAACATCATCATATCAATAGTATCATAGTAACAGTACCATATCAATAGTGTCCCAGTAACAGTATCATATGAATAGTGTCCCAGTAAACTTATCATATAAATAGTGTCCCAGTAACAATATCATACTGTCAGTGTTCTATCAATAGTATCAGATGGCAATGGCCCCAGTAACAACATCATACTGTCAGTGTTCTATCAATAGTATCAGATGGTAGGTGCCCCAGTAACAATATCATACTGTCAGTGTTCTATCAATAGTATCAGATGGTAGGTGTCCCAGTAACAATATCATACTGTCAGTATTCTATCAAGAATATAAGATGGTAGGTGTCCCAGTAACAATATCATACTATCAGTGTTCTATCAAGAATATAAGATGGTAGGTGTCCCAGTAACAATATCATACTGTCAGTGTTCTATCAAGAGTATCAGATGGTAGGTGTCCCAGTAACAATATCATACTGTCAGTGTTCTATCAATAGTATCAGATGGTAGGTGTCCCAGTAACAAAATCATACTGTCAGTGTTCTATCAATAGTATTAGATGGTAAGTGACCAAATAACAATATCATACTGTCAGTGTTCTATCAATAGTATAAGATGGTAAGTGACCCAATAACAATATCATACTGTCAGTGTTCTATCAATAGTATCAAATGGCAATGCGCCATTGATGAGTTTAGCTTGAAGAACACGTCAACAGTAGAAATTTAATACTGCCCCGTTAATGGGATTAGCTTTGTTAGGATTAGGGTTAGGTATATGGTATGTATTAGGTATCCCTCTAGTACTGCCCCATAAATGGGATTAGCTTTGTTAGGATTAGAGTTAGGTATATGGTATGTATTAGGTATCCCTCTAGTACTGCCCCATAAATGGGATTAGCTTTGTTAGGATTAGGGTTAGGTATATGGTATGTATTAGGTATCCCTCTAGTACTGCCCCATAAATGGGATTAGCTTTGTTAGGATTAGGGTTAGGTATATGGTATGTATTAGGTATCCCTCTAGTACTGCCCCATAAATGGGATTAGCTTTGTTAGGATTAGAGTTAGGTATATGGTATGTATTAGGTGCCCCTCTAGTACTGCCCCGTTAATGGGATTAGCTTTGTTAGGATTAGAGTTAGGTATATGGTATGTATTAGGTATCCCTCTAGTACTGCCCCATAAATGGGATTAGCTTTGTTAGGATTAGGGTTAGGTATATGGTATGTATTAGATATCCCTCTAGTACTGCCCCGTTAATGGGATTAGCTTTGTTAGGATTAGGGTTAGGTATATGGTATGTCTTAGGTATCCCTCTAGTAGTGCCCTGTTAATGGGATTAGCTTGAAGAACACGTCAAATGGTTTCAACTTGTTCTCGAAGTAAAGTAACGCGGTTGAGCGAGACAACATGTGGCCATGTAGAGTACATGGAATTAGGAGTGTTTAACTAGGACCTAATCACTCCTGTATCCGTGCGCAACGCCCTACGACGTAGTGCGTCACGTCGATGGAGCGCTTTAACCTCGCCATAAAACGTCTTTAGTTCCAGTTTTTGTTGGTGGCTTGACTGAATCTCCACTGGACATTTACGCTTATCTGTTAACTCTGAAACACGACATTCACTCCACATTCACTCACTAACTCATTCACTCATTCAAATATGTAGGGAATACTTACGTTCACTTCAGTCTGTCAGAGGCACTTACATTCACTTCAGTATATTGGAAACACTTACATTCACTTCAGTATGTCGGAAACACTTACATTCACTTCAGTATGTCCGAAACACTTACATTCACTTCAGTATGTCGGAAACACTTACATTCACATCAGTATGACGAAGAAACCATTGTTCTCGGTGCCCTTGGTTTGGTACCTCCTGGTCTTTTGGCGCAGATCAGAAGAGTGCCCGGGTTCTCCACCGGCAGCACAGCCCTTCTGTCACTCTGGGTAATGCAGAAGGCTGCAGTGTTGGGGAGTCTACATATTCTCCGGAAAGTTCCTGGTGGGTTCGACTAGGCAGCGTTTCCTGGGAGAAGTCCCATTCGCTGACTTGGTTGCATGTAGAGGGGGCAAGGGCCCTGAGCTGATGATGAGCGTTACCAGCCTGACTGTGCCAGGATCACCCGAACCCTTCTCTGCAGCATATTATCATTAATCTGTAAAACATAACAAGGTCAAAGCCACCAATACCTTTCCTGTGCCAGTCTTTTCCTATTATTTTGGAGTAGTTGATTGGACATCCAGAGTCTTGACCGCCTGACCAGAAGAATCATATCTGATAACAGAGCCCACCACCCCTCGTTCTTCTCTTAACCGTTTTATATGCCAATCAGTTCTAGAGGTCAGGTCTGATTAATGTCGAGGCTCTTCATGGTAGAATTTTATTGGGTACTTTTGCACATATTTATTTATCGGATGATCCTCTGGTTATGCACGTCAAAACTCATGATGAAAGCAAAGGAATTCCACAGCTATTTTAAGCGTGCCAAGGTTGTTGGACAGAATCTGAAGTTTGAGGTTGATTTTGTTGATGGCGATGTACTGCTGGACGGTACAGCGATGGGAGTAAACCAGGTGAAGTCCTTCACCAAGTCTGCCAAGAGTCGGTCATTTGTGGAGAAGCTTTGAGAAACCATTGCATCGTGTGTACATGCAGTGTGTGGAACAGAATAGCAATCCAACCGACACCTTCGCTTTCGATGAAGTCGGCTGGTCTTAAATGTGAGGCCTGAGGGCTTTCTTTTTGCTGCTCAAGACCAGTCACTTCTCACTTGCAATCTCCAAAGTGTGATTCTTAAAGAAAATATCAATATAAAATGTCGACTTTGTAATAAATTCACAGAGACTGTCCAACACCTTGTCAGTGGATGTCCTTCCTTGGCACAAACAGCATATCTTAAAGACATGATGTCATGGCTCGCTGTTTTACTACCGTCTCCACACCATGCCTGTGGATTTGACTCCGAGGTCCATCCATGGTACGACCCTGAACATGTGGAATAGGCATATACAGCCTCAGAAGAATCCAGCCAACAAAACTGATCTTGTACTTTTGATAAAGCCAATGAATATATTTATTTCATTGACGTTTCTGTCCCTTTTGACAGCAACGTGATTGGCAGCAAGATTCAGGAAAAGCATTCTAAATATGCGGACCTCGCCTTTGAAATGTCTCGCTTGCATCCCGGTACACTGTCGTCAGGATCCCCATTGTTCTTGGTGCCCTTGGTTTGGTACCTCCCTGGTCTCTTGTGCGCAGATCAGGAGAGTGCCCGGGTTCTCCACCGGCAGCACAGCCCTTCTGTCACTCTGGGTAATGCAGAAGGCTGCAGTGTTGGGGAGTCTACATATTCGTCCTTGGTGGGTTCGACTAGGCAGCGTTTCCCGGAGAAGTCCCATTCGCTGTCTGGGTTGCGTGTAGAGTTGATGATGAGCCTTACCAGCCTGACTGTGCCAGGATCTCCCAAACCCTCTCTGCTGCATATTTTAATCTTTAAAAAAAATAATTCATTTATAAAGCACCTAGTATCCATCCGGAGTAGCTGCTCACTGGACGCCTAAGCAGAATCTGGTTATTTTTTACCCCGGATAACCCAAGTTGTCTGTTTGGCGCTAGAAGGTTATAGTCACATGACTTTATCCAACCGGGTACCCATTTTTTCTGCTGGGTGAACAGAGGAATTTTTAACAAACTCCACTTGCCTAAGGTGAGGCCACATGTATCACATGTAGCTTCGTTGTGAGAGGCAGGACTGAAGTCCTAGAAACTCTCAGGAGTCAAGTAGTCGGTAACACTTACATTCACTCCAGTATGTCTGGAACACTGAAGTTATTGATCCAGCATGTATTTACTGTTTAAACATGTGTGCATATTTACAGAGCAACTAACATGTAAGCTATTCTCATGTTCTGTTTAAAATCACAACTGATGTTTACTTGATGTACACATCAGAGTGCTATATTGCTACTACAGTAAACAAGATCCACACGTGTTCTGTTTTCAGCGTGGTTGCAAGTAACAAAAGGTGTTTGAGGTGGGGGCCGCTGTGTCTTCGCGGCTGCAGCAGTGGCTTGCTATGTTCTGTCGGTTTTCAAGAACAAGTGGTCTGTGGTGCTGTGTCGGCTGTTTGTTTGTTTAATGGCGGGGCTGCAAGTAAGTTCTACATCCAAAGTTCACTTTCTGTTGGTTGCTGAATGTTTTCGTTTTGTGGAGCTTTCTGCGCTATTACCTCTTGTCTGTATGGATTGTTGTCAAGGCTTGTTGTTGTGAGTTGATTGATTGTCTCAGGTTTTTGTTGTGTGAGTTGATTGTTGTCTGGGTTTTGTGTGTGAGTTGATTGTTGTCTAGGTTTGTTGTGAGTTGATTGTTGTCTGGGTTTTGTATTGTGTGAGTTGATTGCTGTGTCTGGGTTTTTGTTGTGTGATTTGATTGTTGTCTGGGTTTTGTTGTGTGAGTTGATTTGTTGTCTGGGTTTGTTGTGTGAGTTGATTGTTGTCTGGGTTTTATTGTGAGTTGATTGTTGTCTATCCGGGTTTTGTTGTGTGAGTCTGGGTTTTGTCAATAAATGTGAGACTTGAAGAATATATCCCATTTTAAGAATATAGAAGCTCATATCTTGACTGTTGTGTTCAAGGATCGGCCATTTTGGTGGGCATTGCGGTATTCGCCAAGAAGTGTGAAGTGCTGGACTCACGCGCTACCCTAAGCGAGATACTGCCGGAATGGATAGACTGGCCTATGGGGCTGTCAGCTGTGGCGGCCATTTTGTGTTTTGTGGACGCAGTCGTTGTGGGGCTTTTTCTTCGGACGAAAAAAACACTTTCAGAAATGAATCTGATGGACTGAAGAGCTGCAGGGCATCACTAAAACCAAAGTGGTGTTGATACTTATTTATGATTGAGAAACAGTTGATTGATTATAGTATATCAGTGACTCCTTGTGCTAAAGCAGCATCGACATTCCCTTCATAGGCGTACTATGCAATCAATGCAATGTATACAAACAATGCACTTTGTATTTTCATAATAAACGAGCTATGAAACTTATATGCTTAACGAGTTTAATTAACAAAATAATACAAAAGTCAGAATGTGACATAATTCACACGAAAGACATGACGATACACAACGCTCTTGGTCTCATCAGCTGGTCATCAGCACTTTGGTTGGTGAAGTCTTAGATCCTTCCAGGTTTAGGAATTATTCCAGGTGTAAGGCGTTCAAGGATTAAATCCTTCCAGTTGTAAGGCGTTCAAGGGATTAAATCCTTCCAGGTGTAAAGGCGTTCAAGGATTAAATCCTTCCAGGTGCACGGCGTTCCAACTTTAAGGTGTTCCAGGGTTACAGAAGTAAACTGCCAACTGGAAATACAAGTCAGTTTGAACTCAAGGGTTTACATCCGAGTGTACGAATTATAACTTCATATACCTTGACAGTACGACTTCCGGTCACTCACATATAGTGGCCATGCCGTGAGGACCTATCTCGGCACGTCATGTATTAACAACCATCTCTCTGGCCTCACGGCTGTCCGCACAGTGTGGCCTAGCTAACAAACAAGCAACAACATGTCTGTGATTGCCTGTCTACATTGATCTGTTGAGATGAATTGCCTTGTCCCAAAAGGAAGCTGGTCACTGATCATGAGATCCACCTGGTCTGACATTACAATATGAAATTCAGTCAGGAGTCTATCTCGTCTATCATGACATTATGTAAATTTAGTTGATTATTCCAGTGTTATTGTAAGATGACTAACATTTATTGTACTGACCTCATCAATAGAGCCCTGGAATCTGTCAGCCCTCCGCAGCCACCGACTATCAGCGCCCTCTGTCGAGTCTCAAGTGCACCTAAAGCGCATGACCCACTTATATTACATATTACACCGTGCCTCCTAACATATGGAGGGGCGGTAGGGAGAACCTAGTGGTTAAAGCGTTCGCTCGTCACGCTGAAGACCCGGGTTCGATTCCCCACAAAGGGGTACAATGTTTAAAGCTCATTTCTGGTGTCCCCGCCGTGATATTGCTAGAATAATGCTAAAAGCGTAGATCTACTAAAATTAGATTCCAAAGTACACCATATGTTATGAGGTGAGGTGAGGTGAAATTGGGTTTAACGTCGTGCTTGAGAATATTTCGCTCATATGACGACGTGCATGCGTGTGTATGTGTATGTGCGGCTGCTTGTACTAGCCCAGACTTAAGCTGGTTTTATAGTGCTAGCCCACTGAGATACCATGCCGCAGTGAAGCATGAATATCCCACCCAGACACATTATACTGACTCCAAGCCGACCAGTCCTTGTTGTACCCATTAATGCCGAGCGCCAGGCAGGGACCAACAAGTACCATATTTTAACGTCTTTTGGTATGACGCGGCCGGGGATCGAACCCACGACCTTCCGCTCTCCGGGCGGACGCTCTAACCACTACACCACGGAGGCGGTCCCCATATGTTATGAGTGAGTGAGCGAGCGAGTTGGGTTTTACTTCGCTTTTAGCATTATTCTAGCAATATCACTGCTGGGGACAACAGAAAAGGGCTTCATACATTGTACCCACGCGGGGAAGCTTTTTCTGTTCTGTGACGTTACCTGTTTCTTACCTGTTTTAGTTTTGTTTTGTTTTGTTTTGTTTCGTTGTTAGTTTGTTTGTTTGTTTTGGTTTTTTGGTTTTATGTTTTTGTTTTTGTTTACTCTCTCTGTGTGTCTGTGTGTCTGTGTGTGTGTGTGTGTGTGTGTGTGTGTGTGTGTTTTGTTTGTGTGTCTGTGTGTTTTGGTTCAGACCCTTTTTTTTGTGTGTGTGTGTGTGTGTGTTTGTGTGTGGGTGGGTGTGTATGTGTGTGTGTGTGTGTGGGTGGGTGGGTGTTGTCTGTATGTTTGGACAACAGCTAACTATAGTCCGTCAACTTAACTGTTGGCACCCTGTTTTTCACAATTTACATAAAATTCCTGAATATTTTAAAACACTGCTCTGTTCATATGGTAATTGTATACCGTGACCTAACAAGATATCGATTTTAGTAATTTTAAAACGATTATTAAAGATTTTGCCTTTAAACCTGTCATATAATAATTGTAAAATTGTGGAGAGTTTTACGAGGGGTTAACGCTCCTGACGGAAAAGCCAACAACACTGTAAAATGTGTGTCAGCGTGATATGTACATGCACGGGTATTTACATTAGCACGCTTAAGTGATGTCAAAGATCCATTCGTAACTACTCGTGTCATTCCGGCAAGCCGGATGGCGTCTCGTACCCCTCTCGTGGCCATGTTTACGACTGGGCTATGTCTAGGCGCAAACGGGCATGGAGATGAAAATAGTCTAGTACCATTACCAACTCTGAATTTCCCAACATAACTCCTAGAATATCTCTTTCTTGTGGGCTAAACAGCAATACAGTCATTCCCTTTGTAAATATGTTTCAGTGTATAAAGTTTCTGATCATTTAGCTAAAAGTAATGTTTAAATTGTGCTTTGCATACTTTAGCGAAGTTTCAAACTTCAAAGGTGCCGCCATTTTCATGCTTCGAAATGCATTTTACTACACGCGATTTGATTGGTTTGCCACGATTCTTGGCAATAATGGCGTACGATAGGGGTACGAGTCTTCTTGTAGGTCACGGAAAGAGGCGAGTAGTTACGAATGGTCAAAGATCGTCAACACGCACAGGTTGTAGGGAAAACGATGTTGTACGAAGATGACCGGCAAATCATCAAAAGAGTTTTCAACTTTTTCAAGCGCGAGGCAAAGCGCAAAAAAACCTCTTTTTTTAATTAAATGTTTCTCCAAAAGACATTTAATGCCACGAAGATCTGCAAAAGAATATTGCAAAGAGTTATCTCCCATGACTGACTGACTGACTGACTGAGTTTGGTTTTACGCCGCTTTTAGCAATATTCCAGCAATATCACGGCGGGGGACACCAGAAATGGGCTTAACACATTGTGCCCATGTGGGGAATCGAACCGGGCCTTCGGCGTGACGAGGCCAACGCTTTAACCACTAGGCTACCCCACCGCCCCTTATCTCCCATGACACTATTTCAGACGATGACATGGCAGTTAAATCGGGGACCGTCTCAAAACATGCAAAGAAAACAAAGCTTGATGAATTCGATAGAAGGGTTGTGAGGGACGTCATGCGTCGGTTACATCGATCCATATTGTCAAGCAAACTGACGAAAATATTGTTCAAAAGAAGACCATGACATCATTGTATCAAAGCATACCATATGCAAGCTGTTGCTCAAATTTGGATATATATACAAGAGATCAAGCAACCAGTCTTTAAAGACTTCAATGAATCTACTTGTTTAAAATGGATTTATGATGATTAAACAGTCCCTGTAGATTTGCTTGCAGGCGTAACAATGTAAACAAGATGCACGTGTGTCACACCATGTTGGTGGCTGTTCCATCGTATCATTTTACTCCCTTGTGTAACTACTTCCATTTTTCATATTTTTATAAGATGGATTCTTAAGAAAAAGCTTTAATAATTGACATAAAATTATGAAATTTAAACCTTCGATAGGTCATATGATATAAAGAGCGTATGCACAAAACATTTTGAGGGCATTTTTGGTTAAAAGGTAAATTGTGAAAAACAGGGTGCCAAAAGTTCAGTTGACGGACTATAGTTGTCTGCATGTATGCATGTATGCATGTATGGACACCAATTATCAACTGATACCCGACAGATGTGACGAGCTTAAAGTGTATATGTAATGGCGGTCGTTGTAATGTAATGTAGACATTATACCTGTTGTGTTCTGCGAAGTCCAAACCCCAGCAGCTCGCCCTTGCAACGCCCCGTCCTGCAGTATATACTCCACGTCCTGCCATCCGCTGGCCTGAAACACAATCACAAGTAAACACAAATAACACATCCTCCCATCTTCCATTATCTAAAACACATTCAGCACTAGACACATATATCACATCCTCCATTATCTGAAACACATTCAGCACTAGACACATATATCACATCTTCCATTATCAGCACACACATCTTCAGCACTCAGACACATATATCACATCTTCCATTATCTGAAACACATTTCAGCACTAGACACATATATCACATCTTCCATTATCTGAAACACATTCAGCACTAGACACATATATCACATCTTCCATTATCTAAAACACGTTCAGCACTAGACACATATATCACATCTTCCATTATCTGAAACACATTCAGCACTAGACACATATATCACATCTTCCATTATCACGAAACACATTCAGCACTAGACATAACACATTCAGCACTAGCACTAGACACATATATCACATCTTCCATTATCTAAAACACATTCAGCACTAGACACATATATCACATCTTCCATTATCTGAAACACATTCAGCACTAGACACATATATCACATCTTCCATTATCTGAAACACATTCAGCACTAGAACATATATCACATCTTCCATTATCACATTAGACACACATATATCACATCTTCCATTATCTATATCAAACACATTCAGCACTAGACACATATATCACATCTTCCATTATCTGAAACACATTCAGCACTAGACACATATATCCACATCTTCCATTATCTGAAACACATTCAGCACTAGACACATATATCACATCTTCCATTATCTCAGCGCTAGACGCATAACACATCCTTTCAGCACTAGCACTAGACATATATCACATCTTCCATTATCTAAAACACATTCAGCACTAGACACATCCATATCACATCTTCATTATCTGAGACACATTCAGCACTAGACACTATCACATCTTCCATTATCTGAAACCCACATTCAGCACTAGACACATATATCCATCTTCCATTATCTAAAACACACAGCACTAGACACATATAGCACTCTGAGACACATATATAGACACATATATCCATCTTCCATTATCTGAAACACATTCAGCACTGAGACATATATCACATCTTCCATTATCACGAAACACATTCCACTAGACACATATATCCATCTTCCATTATCTGATTCCATTCAGCACTAGACACATATATCACATCTTCCATTATCTGATCCACATTCATTACTAGACACATATATCACATCTTTCCATCTTCACATTCCATTATCTAAAACACATATATCCATCTTCCATTATCCAAACCATTCAGCACTATCCATATATTCCATCTTCCATTATCTTCCTTCATTCAGCACTAGACCATTATCCATTCCATTATCTGAAATATTCAGCACTAGACACATATATCCATTCCATTATCTAGATTCCATCCAGCACTAGACACATATATCCATTATCCATTCATATCTTCCATTCAGCACTATCATTCCATCTTCCATTATCCATTCCATTTATCCACATATATCACATCTTCCATTCCATATATCACATCTTCCATTTCATCATATATCCATCTTCCTTTATGAAACACCTCCATTCCATTTCCATATATCACATCTTCCATTATCTCACATTCAGCATTCCATCTTCCATATCCTCCATTATCACTCCAACACATCCATTCCTAGACACATATCCACATCTTCCATCTGAAACACATTTTCCATTCCTTCCATCCATTCCATTCCATTCGGCATTCCATATATCCATCCTTCCATTATTATCCATTCCATTCTATATCCATCTTCCATTATTCCATCACTTCCTAGACGTATCCATTCTTCCATAGCGCAGACATATCCATTTCAACACCATGTCATCTCCATTATCCATTCCCTTTCAGATTCCATCCATCTTCCATTATCCATTCCATTATCCATTCCATTCCACTTCCATTCCTTTCATTCCGTTCCCTTCCATTATCATTTCCATTATCCATTCTTCCATTCCATTTCCATTCTTCCATTATCCTCCATTCATCATCCATTCCATTTCCATCCATTCTTATTATCCACATTCCATATCCATAGATCCATCTTCCATTCTTCCATTCCATCATCCATCCTCCACATTCCATTATCATTCTTCCATTTCCATTCCATTCCATCTCCATTATCACATCTTCCATTATTCCATTCCTTATCTTCCATTCCTGTCATTCCATATCCATCCATTCCATTATTCCATCCTTATCATTCCATCTTCCATTATCCATTCCATTCCTCCATTCCATTTCTTCCATTATCCATTCCCATTCCATCCATTCCATTATCCATCCTTCCATTATCCATTCCATTCATATATCCATCCATTATCTCTTACTTTCCATTCATTTTTGTCTCCATTCCATTCCTTCCATTATCACATTCCATTTCCTCCATCTTCCATTATCCATTCCTTCCATTATCCATTCCTTCCTGTCCATTCTTCCATGTCCATCTTCCATTGTCCATTCCTTTCATTTCCACATCTTCCATTATCTATTTCCTTCTCATCCTCACCCTATCCATTCTGATTTCCTCCATCTTCCATTATCTTCTCCATCTTCGTTTGTCCCTCCATTCCCCTGTTCCTCCATCTTCCATTATCCTTCTTCCATCCTTTCTGTGTCTCCATCCCTTGTCCTGTGTCCATTCATCCTTCTTTGTGTCCTGTCCACTTCCTGTCTTCAGTGTCACACTCTGTCTGGTTCCTGATCTCAGGCTGTCCACGTCCATCCATGTCCGGTCCTGTCTCTGGGTTCTTTGATCACATGTCTCTCACATCCTGTCCTCATGCTCCATCCCTGTTTTCATACTCTTTCCATTCTGTTCCCATCCACATTCCCCCTGTCCATTCCATTCCTCACACTTGTCCTGTCTGTGATTCTGTGTGATTCTGTTGTCTGTGTGCGTTCCTGTCTGTCTCCCATGCTCCTGTCTCACCTGTCTCCTGTCTCCTGTTCCTGTCTCACCCTCCTGTGTTCCATGTCCTCTCCTGTGTGTCTCCTGTCTCCCCTGTCTTGTGTCCTCCTGTCCTGTCTTGTCCTGTCCCCCTGTCTCATACTCACATCCCTGTCTCATGTCTCACATCCTGTCTCATACTCACACTCCTGTCTCACACCCTGTCATACTCACACCCTGTTTCATACTCACACCCTGTCTCATACTCACACCCTGTCCGATACTCACACCAAGTCCCATACTCACGACCTGTGATTAAGAGGCCGCTAATGGGATCGGATGGTCAGTCTCGCTGACTGGGTTGACACATGTCATCGTATCCCATCTGCGTGGATTGATGTTCAGGCTGTATATCCACAGGGCCCTTATTCTCGAAACGTTCGTAGCCCTAAGAATTCTTAACTTTGATCGTAGCCAATGTGTTAAGAATGGGCTTAAGAAGTTCGTAGGACTTAAGAAGTTTCGAGAATAGCTAGCCTGGACTGTCTGGTCCAGATCCGATTTTTACAGACCGCCGCCATATAGCTGGAATATTGCGGAGTGCGGCGTAACACTAAACTCACTCACTCACTCACATCCTAACTGTGTCATACTCACATACTGTGTCATACTCACATCTTAACTGCGTCATACTAACATGCTGAGTCATACTCACATCCTGTGTCATACTCACAACCTGTCATACTCACATACTGCGCCATACTCACATACTGTGCCATACTCACATACTGTGCCATACTCACATCCTGTGCCATACTCACAACCTGTGTCATACTAACATCCTGTGTCATACTCACATACTGTGTCATACTCACATACTGTGCCATACTCACATACTGTGCCATACTCACAACCTGTGTCATACAAACATCCTGTGTCATACTCACAACCTGTGTCATACTAACATCCTGTGTCATACTCACAACCTGTGTCATACTAACATCCTGTGTCATACTCACAACCTGTGTCATACTAACATCCTGTGTTATACTCACATACTGTGTCATACTCACATACTGTGTCATACTCACATACTGTGAAATACTCACATACTGTGTCATACTAACTCCACACTCACAAACTGTGTCATACTAACATCCTGTGCCATACATCCTGTGTGCCATACTCACAATCCTGTGTCATACTGACATCCTGTGTCATATTCACAACCTGTGTCATACTAACTCACACATCCTGTGTCATACTCATACTCACATACTGCAACCGCCATATTCACTCACACTCTCACACCTGTGTCATACTAACATCCTGTGCCATACTCACAACCTGTGTCATACTAACATCCTGTGCCATACTCACAACCTGTGTCATACTAACATCCTGTGTCATACTCACATACTGTGTCACACTCACATACTGTGCCATACTCACAACCTGTGTCATACTAACATCCTGTGTCATACTCACAACCTGTGTCATACTAACATCCTGTGTCATACTCACAACCTGTGTCATACTAACATCCTGTGTCATACTCACACACTGTGTCATACTCACATCCTGTGTCATACTAACATTCTGTGCCATACTCACGGACTGTGGGAGAGTAAAGTTGACTGCAGGGCTGTTGTAGGTTTTTGCAAAGAATTCAGTTGTGCTGTCGCTGTTGCTGCCGATGTAGATGGATGGGCCTACGCGACAGTCTCCGTTACACACAAGGGCGTGCCGAGACGTGGATGCCGCGACCTTGAACCTGAGTGTCACGACCAGAGTTGACCCAAACCATGCGTTAGAGAACCGATTGATGACAAGACGTCCCTGGCCATCAAACACAGCACTCCCGTGACTCACGGTAACTCCTTCGTTGGCGACGTGCACAGAATTCCCGGACATGTCGTCGGTGTTGTCGTCAAAAGGCAGATACATCTCAGGTCTGCAGGCTGCTCTCAGTGTATAACAAGCAAAATTATCAGTGAAAAAAATCATTTGGGTCTCTAACGTTGTTATTTGGTACAATCGACATTTCTTTAAGAATGGACTGCAATGAGACCAGTAGCCGTAGTTCAGATATTTCTCAAAATTCTCTTTTTTATTCATAGAACAAATGCGAAAATACAAACCTTTGTTATAGTTTTGTGGCGCAAGAAAGGCACAGCCGCAGTTGCCCTTGCTGTACTCCGTGAAGAGCGGGCATCTGTGACGTACCCATGTTCCGTCTGGCGTCCACTGCTCGAACACGTGCTTGTCTCCAGCCACTGGACGCAGGTCGCACGGGACGTCTGTAGTTTAAGTAGGAACAACAAACTGTGCCTTATATAAAGTGACGTAATAACATTGAAAATGACAACAGAGGACGCTCATTCGCCCGACCAGTCTTGTGGTTATATTTACTATAACATGTGTAATGACAAAACCCACTCTGGGAAGGGGGCACGACCTATACGAAGGTTAGAGTAACAGCTCAATTCCCGTTGTCAGTATCAGATGTGACCATCATTTGCGTTCATACAATCGAGGCAGCGACAATGCAGTGAAGACACCGGAAAACAACCTGGGATATTCAAAACGTCAACAGATTGGCCCAAATGAACAAACGTTACTGGTTGGTCTGGGTCCTGTTGTCCCTGTTCGCTCACAAATGATATGACGTCTTCACGTACTTCCTGGCAGTCTGGAGACCTGTGTACGACCGTCTGTGATGTCAACACCACGGTAGGCTTGCCTGACTCTGACGTGGAAGTATCGTGGTCTCCATACTTACAGGACGACGTTCACTCGAACTTTGACTTGTAGTTGTAAATGAGTTACAATCAACAATAACTATCTTAACATACCACGAATATCTCCTTCCATTAGACAACCGACAGTGCAGGTCACATTCGTCTTGCATGACCCGGAAGTGATATCGTATGACTGGTACAGTGGGCAGCACTTGGCAGTGGCACTTCCGGTACTACAGTCCCAGTAGTTGCGGCAGTCGACAGACAGCGACCCGCCAGGAGAGCATACATCTAAAAACCAAGAAAATAACATGATCAGCTTGAAAGAGGAAGGGCTTAAATACAGACATACTCCTGGCCGAAATATAAAGATGAAAACTACCACAGCTGATTACGGCATTGAACTCTGGCCATTGGACGAAATTGTAAAACTGTCTGATCCGCAGTAAAGCCCCGATGTTCCCATACTGAACCACCTCATCATTCCTGGTTACTGAACCACCTCATGATTCCTAGTTACTGAACCACCTCATCATTCCTGGTTACTGAACCACCTCATCATTTCTAGTCACTGAAACACCTCACGATTCCTAGTTACCGGACCACCTCATAATTCCTAGTTACTGAACCACCTCATCATTCCTAGTTGCTGAACCACCTCATGATTCCTAGTTACTGAACCACCTCATGATTCCTAGTTACTGAACCACCTCATGATTCTAAGTTACTGAACCACCTCATGATTCCTAGTTGCTGAACCACCTCATGATTCCTAGTTACTGAACCACCTCATGATTCCTAGTTACTGGACCACCTCATGATTCCTAGTTACTGAACCACCTCATGATTCCTAGTTACTGAACCACCTCATCATTCCTAGTTACTGAACCACCTCATGATTCCTAGTTACTGGACCACCTCATGATTCCTAGTTACTGGACCGCCTCATGATTCTTAGTTACTGAACCACCTCATGATTCCTAGTTACTGAACCACCTCATCATTCCTAGTTACTGAACCACCTCATGATTCTTAGTTACTGAACCACCTCATGATTCTTAGTTACTGAACCACCTCATGATTCCTAGTTACTGAACCACCTCATGATTCTTAGTTACTGAACCACCTCATGATTCCTAGTTACTGAACTACCTCATGATTCTTAGTTACTGAACCACCTCATGATTCCTAGTTACTGAGCCACCTCATGATTCCTAGTTACTGGACCACCTCATGATTCTTAGATACTGAACCACCTCATGATTCTTAGTAACTGAACCACCTCATGATTCCTAGTTACTGAATCACCTCATGATTCCTGGTTACTGAACTACCTCATGATTCCTGGTTACTGAACCACCTCATCATTTCTAGTTACTGAACCACCTCACGATTCCTAGTTACTGAACCACCTTATGATTCCTAGTTACTGAACCACCTCATGAATCCTGGTTACTGAACTACCTCATGATTCCTAGTTACTGAACCACCTCATGATTCCTAGTTACTGAACCACCTCACGATTCCTAGTTACTGAACCACCTCATGATTCCTAGTTACTGAACCACCTCATGATTCCTAGTTACTGAACCACCTCATGATTCCTGGTTACTGAACCACCTCATGATTCCTAGTTACTGAACCACCTCATGATTCCTGGTTACTGAACCACCTCATGATTCCTGGTTACTGAACCACCTCATGATTCCTGGTTACTGAACCACCTCATGATTCCTGGTTACTGAACCTCCTCATGATTCCTGGTTACTGAACCACCTCATGATTCCTAGTTACTGAACCACCTCATGATTCCTAGTCACTGAACCACCTTATGATTCCTAGTTACTGAACCACCTCATGATTCCTAGTTACTGAACCACCTCATGATTCCTAGTTACTGAACCACCTCATGATTCCTGGTTACTGAACCACCTCATGATTCCTAGTTACTGAACCACCTCATGATTCCTAGTTACTGAACCACCTCATGATTCCTGGTTACTGAACCACCTCATGATTCCTGGTTACTGAACCACCTCATGATTCCTAGTTACTGAACCAACCTCATGATTCTAGGATTCCTTCGTTTGCTGGAACCACCTGTTACTGAACCACCTCATGATTCCTGGTTACTGAACCACCTCATGATTCCTGGTCACTGAACCACCTCATGATTCCTGGTTACTGAACCACCTCATGATTCCTGGTTACTGAACCACCTCATGATTCCTGGTTACTGAACCACCTCATGATTCCTAGTTACTGAACCACCTCATGATTCCTAGTTACTGAACCACCTTCATGATTCCTAGTTACTGAACCACCTCATGATTCCTGGTTACTGAACCACCTCATGATTCTTAGTTACTGAACCACCTCATGATTCCTAGTTACTGAACCACCTCATGATTCCTAGTTACTGAACCACCTCATGATTCCTGGTTACTGAACCACCTCATGATTCCTAGTTACTGAACCACCTCATGATTCCTGGTTACTGAACCACCTCATGATTCCTAGTTACTGAACCACCTCATGATTCCTAGTTACTGAACCACCTCATGATTCCCTAGTTACTGAACCACCTCATGATTCCTAGTTACTGAACCACCTCATGATTCCTAGTTACTGAACCACCTCATGATTCCTAGTTACTGAACCACCTCATGATTCCTAGTTACTGAACCACCTCATGATTCCTAGTTACTGAACCACCTCATGATTCCTGGTTACTGAACCACCTCATGATTCCTAGTTACTGAACCACCTCATGATTCCTGGTTACTGAACCACCTCATGATTCCTAGTTACTGAACCACCTCATGATTCCTAGTTACTGAACCCACCTCATGATTCCTAGTTACTGAACCAACTCATCATGATTCCTAGTTACTGAACCACTCATGATTCCTAGTTACTGAACCACCTCATGATTCCTAGTTACTGAACCACCTCATGATTCCTAGTTACTGAACCACCTCATGATTCCTAGTTACTGAACCACCTCATGATTCCTGGTTACTGAACCACCTCATGATTCCTCAAGTTACTGAACCACCTCATGATTCCTAGTTACTGAACCACCTCATGATTCTTAGTTACTGAACCACCTCATGATTCCTAGTTACTGAACCACCTCATGATTCCTAGTTACTGAACCACCTCATGATTCCTAGTTACTGAACCACCTCATGATTCCTGGTTACTGAACCACCTCATGATTCCTAGTTACTGAACCACCTCATGATTCCTGGTTACTGAACCACCTCATGATTCCTGGTTACTGAAACCACCTCATGATTCCTGGTTACTGAACCACCTCATGATTCCTAGTTACTGAACCATTCCTCATGATTCCTGGTTACTGAACCAACCACCTCATGATTCCTGGTTACTGAACCACCTCATGATTCCTGGTTACTGAACCACCTCATGATTCCTAGTTACTGAACCACCTCATGATTCCTGGTTACTGAACCACCTCATGATTCCTAGTTACTGAACCACCTCATGATTCCTAGTTACTGAACCACCTCATGATTCCTAGTTACTGAACCACCTCATGATTCCTAGTTACTGAACCACCTCATGATTCCTGGTTACTGAACCACCTCATGATTCCTGGTTACTGAACCACCTCATGATTCCTAGTTACTGAACCACCTCATGATTCCTAGTTACTGAACCACCTCATGATTCCTAGTTACTGAACCACCTCATGATTCCTAGTTACTGAACCACCTCATGATTCCTGGTTACTGAACCACCTCATGATTCCTGGTTACTGAACCACCTCATGATTCCTGGTTACTGAACCACCTCATGATTCCTGGTTACTGAACCACCTCATGATTCCTATTTACTGCGATTGTACCCACCCTGTAGACATTGCACGTTTGCAGGGAAGTCACACGTTAGTGCTGCCTGGTTCCAGTATAGCCCCGGGGGGCACGACCTCTCCGAGGACATGCTGGAGACGTTCCTGTAGTAGCACTGATAGAATCGGGAACAATCTGTGGGGTGGGCGACGTAGCCGACGCCGTTAGTCATGACACATCCGCTACACATGTCCTCAGCTGGAAGAAGATAGAGTGATGTGTTGAATTGGAATATGGATGGCCACTCACGTAGAAACACGAGGAGATTATTGAATGGAACAATATATGATCAAATTTGGGCAGAATATCTAGCCTAGAAAAAGGCGCGTTATAAATATTCTCATTATTATTATTAACATGGATGACCAATCACATAGGGATACTTTGCATCAACAATGTTTACAGATTACCTGTAACATCAACATTGCATAAACGATGTTGACAGTTTACCTTAACGTCTACATTGCATCAACGATGTTGACAGTTTACCTGTAACGTCTACATTGCATCAACGATGTTGACAGATTACCTTAACGTCTACATTGCATCAACGATGTTGACAGTTTACCTATAACGTCTTCATTGCATCAACGATGTTGACAGATTACCTTAACGTCTACATTGCATCAACGATGTTGACAGTTTACCTGTAACGTCTACATTGCATCAACGATGTTGACAGTTTACCTATAACGTCTTCATTGCATCAACGATGTTGACAGATTACCTTAACGTTTACATTGCATCAACGATGTTGACAGTTTACCTGTAACGCCTACATTGCATCAACGATGTTGACAGTTTACAAATAATGTCTACATTGCATCAACGATGTTGACAGTTTACCTGTAACGTCTACATTGCATCAACGATGTTGACAGTTTACCTGTAACTTCTACATTGCATCAACGATGTTAACAGTTTACAAGTAACGTATATATATATATATATATATATAAATTTATAAATGCACCAGCAACTGCAGCTGCGAGGAACACACTTGTGCTGTGACCGTGCCAACCAATAACGATGTTTTTGTATAAACACCTACTTGTTTTAACTCTGGGTGTTGTCTTCGAGGCAGAGGTCGGCAACGGTGTTGTAGCTGTTGTTGTAGTTTCGGATATGTTTTGCATTGCCGAGTCTACTGTTGGCGTTGCCGTTGCTGCTGGTGTTGTTGCTGCTGGTGTTGTTGTTGCTGCTGGTGTCGTTGTAGTTGGTGTTGTTGGTGTTGGTGTTGTTGCTGCTGCTGTTGTTGCTGTTGGTGTTGTTGCTGCTGTTGTTGTTGCTGCTGCTGTTGTTGCTGTTGGTGTTGTTGCTGCTGTTGTTGCTGCTGGTGTTGTTGCGGTTGGTGTTGTTGCTGCTGCTGCTGTTGTTGCTGCTGCTGTTGTTGGTGTTGGTGAGTGTGCTGCTGTTGGTGTTGATGTGGAAGTCGAAGGCACATATGTAGTCATTCTAACTGTGCTGGTGAATGATGAGGTCATTCTCGCAGAAGTCGGTGCTGCAGTCGATGGGTGGTGATGTAGCGAACGATTCTGTAGTGGATGATGTTGTCGACGCCGCGGTTATAGGCGGATCGGTTAGAATCACAACATGTGAGTCGTTACCTATAAAACAGGGTCACATCTGTATCATGGTCATTCGTGGTACATGGTCGATAGAAAACAACCGTAACAAATACATATCTGTAATTTCAGATTTGAACATTAAGCAGGCATTTGCATATACAAGGAGCAAAAGAATGTTTTGAATATAAATGAAACTTAAAAGAACTACCAAAACGTGGTTATATCTATTTATTCATTCCTGCAACATTTTGAAATCTGTAGTTACTGTAGTGTTGTGTAAAAGCTGGTTTTAACAAAAACGGTTGTAAGTTGTGTGTGTAACAAATGAACTGTAAATGTGTGTCAAAAACAAACACATTTGTTGTTTTTCAAATATACGATATATTTATATTTGAAAGTTATAAATCGTTTTCAGTTAGAAGTATTCTTGGGGGCGCCAGTGCTGTTCGCCTTCTGGATGTCGCAGACCTTACCTGTTTCTAAGACATAATAATAATATCAGCACCCTTTTCTTTACATTTCTTAGTGCACATTTAGTTCGGTTTCACAATTTAACAATCATACTTAGAGATGAAGAAAAAGACTCAAACTCGGAGATGTATCACAGAACAATTATTAGATGTCGCGGTCACAGTGACTTTATGAGGGGCCAGACACCATCCTGTGTCAGTACATGTCGCAAGTCACATGTTGCTGGTAGGAGTGGGAAGGGATTCCTAGTCAGACCCATAAGGGTAGTCGGGACCCACTAACTAACGCCCTGTTGTACGTACTACTGCTTAGATCTGCTACGACTATCGTCCGCGACGACCGTGTCGTGGTAGTTGGCTCTACACTGATAGGTGGGACGACAGGGACATCGACGGCTGAATCGACACAGCTGTCATCATCATCATCATCATCGTCATCGTCGTCGTCGCAATCAGCTGTAACAAAGGGAAGAAACAGAAAGTAATAAATAAAAAATAAATGTGCTTTTATAATGCGTGCAATCCAGACAGATATGCCTGTTCAAGACGCTACAAGTGGGTATATGTACAGATAAAAGTCAGAGGAAGTGTTCACTAGATTTAAATGTCACTGTGATACTTGGAGAACATATGGGTCTTTAGTCTTGATTTGAATTGCTCAAAGGTTGGACACAGTTTCAACTCTGATGGAAGTGAGTTCCAGGGGATAGGGGCAGTGCTGGAGAAGGATCTGGAGCCAAGAGTTTTTAGATGATATTTTGGAACTTGCAGGAGATTGTCGTCACCTGATCGGAGTTTACGTGCTGGAGTGTATGGAGTCAAGAGTTCAGATAGATAGCCAGGGCTGGTGATATGGGAGCATCGGTAGGTGGTGGTACAGAGAAGCTTGAACTCTATTCTAGCTTTTACTGGCAACCAGTGGAGGTCTCTGAGCACTGGTGTCATGTGCACATGTCTTGGTGTACTTGTGATGACCCGTGCTGCAGAATTGTGCAGCACCTGCAGCTTAGATAGCAGTTTTCCACTGATGCCCTGAAGCAAACTGTTGCACTAATCTAGTCTTGATGTTATTAGACCATGGGCAAGTACGTTTACAGCGTCTGCGGTTATTAAGATGTTACTGATGGATCGGAGATGATAGTAGCACAGGTTCGACTGATGTGGGTAACCTGTTTCTCAATGGAGAGATGTGAGTCGAGGTATACTCCCAGATCTTTAAGGTGGTCACTGAGATTTGGTTCAGTATCTGCCATCAGAATGGATTGTTCCTCTACTCTGGCAAGCCGTTGCTTAGTGCCGCTCAGCATCACCTCTGTCTCCATTCAGTTCAGCTTATCTGCTGTCATCCATGACATAGTTGTTGCTGTACAATCAGATTACTACCACTACTTCTCCTACTACTACGACTACAACCACTACTACTACTACCACCACCACTGCTACTACAACTACCCTGATGACAACAAGATTTGCTGCCTGCACCTAGTGTCTGGCTACCAGCAGAGAGTACCTACTGACAACAATGTTTGCTGCCTGCACCTAGTGTCTGGCTACCAGCAGAGTGTACCTACTGACAACAATGTTTGCTGCCTGCAGCTAGTGTCTGGCTACCAGCAGAGTGTACCTACTGACAACAATGTTTGCTGCCTGCACCTAGTGTCTGGCTACCAGCAGAGCGTACCTACTGACAACAATGTTTGCTGCCTGCAGCTAGTGTCTGGCTACCAGCAGAGTGTACCTACTGACAACAATGTTTGCTGCCTGCACCTAGTGTCTGGCTACCAGCAGAGTGTACCTACTGACAACAATGTTTGCTGCCTGCACCTAGTGTCTGGCTACCAGCAGAGTGTACCTACTGACAACAATGTTTGCTGCCTGCACCTAGTGTCTGGCTACCAGCAGAGTGTACCTACTGACAACAATGTTTGCTGCCTGCAGCTAGTGTCTGGCTACCAGCAGAGTGTACCTACTGACAACAATGTTTGCTGCCTGCACCTAGTGTCTGGCTACCATCAGAGTGTACCTACTGACAACAATGTTTGCTGCCTGCACCTAGTGTCTGGCTACCAGCAGAGTGTACCTACTGACAACAACGTTTGCTGCCTGCAGCTAGTGTCTGGCTACCAGCAGAGTGTACCTACTGACAACAATGTTTGCTGCCTGCACCTAGTGTCTGGCTACCAGCAGAGTGTACCTACTGACAACAATGTTTGCTGCCTGCACCTAGTGTCTGGCTACCAGCAGAGTGTACCTACTGACAACAATGTTTGCTGCCTGCACCTAGTGTCTGGCTACCAGCAGAGTGTACCTACTAACAAAAATGTTTGCTGCCTGCAGCTAGTGTCTGGCTACCAGCAGAGTGTACCTACTGACAACAATGTTTGCTGCCTGCACCTAGTGTCTGGCTACCAGCAGAGTGTACCTACTGACAACAATGTTTGCTGCCTGCACCTAGTGTCTGGCTACCATCAGAGTGTACCTACTGACAACAATGTTTGCTGTCTGCAGCTAGTGTCTGGTTACCAGCAGAGTGTACCTACTGACAACAATGTTTGCTGCCTGCACCTAGTGTCTGGCTACCAGCAGAGTGTACCTACTGACAACAATGTTTGCTGCCTGCAGCTAGTGTCTGGCTACCAGCAGAGTGTACCTACTGACAACAACGTTTGCTGCCTGCACCTAGTGTCTGGCTACCAGCAGAGTGTACCTACTGACAACAATGTTTGCTGCCTGCACCTAGTGTCTGGCTACCAGCAGAGTGTACCTACTGACAACAATGTTTGCTGCCTGCACCTAGTGTCTGGCTACCAGCAGAGTGTACCTACTGACAACAATGTTTGCTGCCTGCACCTAGTGTCTGGCTACCAGCAGAGAGTAACTACTGACAACAATGTTTGCTGCCTGCAGCTAGTGTCTGGCTACCAGCAGAGTGTACCTACTGACAACAACGTTTGCTGCCTGCAGCTAGTGTCTGGCTACCATCAGAGTGTACCTACTGACAACAACGTTTGCTGCCTGCACCTAGTGTCTGGCTACCAGCAGAGTGTACCTACTGACAACATTGTTTGCTGCCTGCACCTAGTGTCTGGCTACCAGCAGAGTGTACCTACTGACAACAATGTTTGCTGCCTGCACCTAGTGTCTGGCTACCAGCAGAGTGTACCTACTGACAACAATGTTTGCTGCCTGCACCTAGTGTCTGGCTACCAGCAGAGTGTACCTACTGACAACAATGTTTGCTGCCTGCACCTAGTGTCTGGCTACCATCAGAGTGTACCTACTGACAACAATGTTTGCTGCCTGCACCTAGTGTCTGGCTACCATCAGAGTGTACCTACTGACAACAACGTTGGTCTCTACCACCAACACATTTCTCGGTTCACTTAGTTGACCGCCCACGCCGTAGATCGCACTGGCCGTGGCGACGTTCTGGGTCGCCAGTAACAGGCCGACATACCACAATGTCCACTCAAGGGTCACCATCATCTGAAACAGTAGGATGAACATTGTCATTGTCTCTCAGGCCCAACACATGGTCACCTGGCACATGTACCTCAGCACATCACCCGACCTTAGTGGCCACCTGGCACATGTACCTCAGCACAACACCCGACCTTAGTGGTCACCTGGCACATGTACTTCAGCACAACACACGACCTTAGTGACCACCTAGTACATATACTTCAGCACAACACACAACCTTAGTGACCACCTAGTACATATACTTCAGCACAACACACGACCTTAGTGACCACCTAGTACATATACTTCATCACAACACACAACTTTGTGGACACCTGGTACATATGCTTCAGCACAACACACAACCTAGTGGCCACCTGGTACATGTACTTCAGCACAAAACGCGAACCTAGTGGCCACCTGGCACATATACTTCAGCACAACACACAACCTAGTGGACACCTGGTACATATGCTTCAGCACAACACACAACCTAGTGGACACCTGGTACATATGCTTCAGCACAACACACAACCTAGTGGCCACCTGGCACATGTACTTCAGCACAACCCGCGAACCTTAGTGACCACCTGGCACATGTACTTCAGCACAACACACAACTTCAGCATGCCTACAGCAGGACAAGATATGACGTCAGTGATCACAAGATGTTGGGTCTTGAGCATAACCTGTGATCTCAGTGATCACAATATGTAGGGACTTGAGCATGACCTGCGATCTCAGTGATCACAATATGTAGGGACTTGAGCATGACCTGCGATCTCAGTGATCACAATATGTAGGGACTTGAGCATGACCTGCGATCTCAGTGATCACAATATGTAGGGACTTGAGCATGACCTGCGATCTCAGTGATCACAACATATAGGGACTTGAGCATGACCTGTGATCTCAGTGATCACAATATGTAGGGACTTGAGCATGACCTGTGATCTCAGTGATCACAACATATAGGGACTTGAGCATGACCTGTGATCTCAGTGATCACAATATGTAACGACTTGAGCATTACCTGCGGTCTTACTAATCACCTGTCATTGCGCACATGTTGTCAGTGAGCACAACACATGATGTCAGTGATCACTGAGTACTAAATTTGGTTTTATTGTTGACCGGGTCCCAGACAGGCTATCACTCACTGTCACACCGACACACCTGCATGGAGGCAGTCAGTTACCAACACTCAGTACGTTTACTGTCAATCATTTATCATCATTTCGTTGACATATCTTTTATATATACATAGGTATCCTGAACGAGTATTATGTAAAGCATAGTGGCTGAAGACGAAGTCGATGGCAAATAGCCTGATTTGAATGTATCGACACTACAGCAGAATGTTATTGAAATAGGGTTACTACCATCGCAATACTGTTTCAATGCGGGTGCTGTCGTACAGTTGCACTATTGATAATATGGCTTTTGTTGCAGTAGTGGAGCTTGTGTTGCAACTGATGCAGACTGCACATACACACACACTGACTCAGTGTCCCTGGAATGTGGTGGCGGCGACCTGTGATTACACTGTCTTGCACACATAAGGAAGTTTCGCCTGGACAATAAACAGACAACACCTTGTCGTAAATAAGGGAGATTGATTGGTAGTAATATTGTAACAGCAACAGTCTCATTCATCAACATCCATTAGCAGCTGTGGAAACAATGCTGGAAACACATAACAAACGTTCTACATTCCAGCTGACGCCCAGTTTCATCAGGCCTCACAGCGCAAGTAGTTTGTTGTGTGGGAAAAATCAGTAACAATATCGGAAATAGAAAATCAGTAACAATACCGGGAATAGAAACTCAGTAACAATGTCGGGAAATTCAGTAACAATATCGGGAATAGAAAATCAGTAACAATACCGGGAATAGAAACTCAGTAATAATACCGGGAATAGAAAGTCAGCAACAATATTGGGAAGATCAGTAGCAATATCGGGAATAGAAAATCAGTAACAATATGAGAAGTGTCGACACTTGTGCGCGAGACAGAGAGAGAGAGAGAGAGAGAGAGAGAGAGAGAGAGAGAGAGAGAGAGAGAGAGAGAGAGAGAGGGAGTGAGAGAAAGAGGGACACTGTTATAGTTATTGCCGTATAAGTGACATATATATCGAGCGATTGGTGTCCACATATAACAAGTATAATAAACCATATAGCTCTGCAAATATAATATATTGAAAGAACATGTTTCCGTATGTCATATAATACCAAGCACTGTTACATAGCAGATATACCACTCTGCCATAGACTGACAGGCACACTATGTACATACATGCAATCTCTATATTTCCTATAGTCATATGATACCAAGCTCTGATACATAGCAGATATACCACTCTGCTACAGACTGACAGGCACACTATGTACATACATGCAATCTCTATATTTCCTATAGTCATATGATACCAAGCACTGATACATAGCAGATATACCACTCTGCTACAGACTGACAGGCACACTATGTACATACATGCAATCTCTATATTTCCTATAGTCATATGATACCAAGCACTGATACATAGCAGATATACCACTCTGCTACAGACTGACAGGCACACTATGTACATACATGCAATCTCTATATTTCCTATAGTCATATGATACCAAGCACTGATACATAGCAGATATACCACTCTGCTACAGACTGACAGGCACACTATGTACATACATGCAATCTCTATATTTCCTATAGTCATATGATACCAAGCACTGATACATAGCATATATACCACTCTGCTACAGACTGACAGGGCACACTATGTACATACATACGCAATCTCTATATTTCCTATAGTCATATGATACCAAGCACTGTTACATAGCATATATACCCTCTGCTACAGACTGACAGGCACACTATGTACATACATGCAATCTCTATATTCTATAGTCATATGATACCAAGCACTGATACATAGCATATATACCACTCTGCTACAGACTGACAGGCACACTATGTACATATTACGCAACTCTCTATAGTCATATGATACCAAGCTGATACATAGTAGCATATATACCCACTCTGCTGTTATGACTGACAGGCAGGCTATGCAATACCGCGGCGTACATACATGCAATCCTCTATATTTCCTATAAGTCATATGATGTACCAAGCACTGATATGATAGCATATATACCCGCTCTGCTACAGGACTGATGGTGGCGCACTATGTACATACAATGTAACTTCTATATTTCCTATAGTCATATGATGCAAGCACTGATATGATAGCATATATACATCCACTTCTCTGCTGGGCAGACTGACAGACACACACTATGCAAATATTACATGCACTTCTATATTCTATAGTCATATGATACCAAGCACTGATTACAGAGCAGCATATACTTAACTCTGCTACAGACTGACAGATACACTATGTACATGGGCATACATAAATCTCTATATTTCTATAGTCTATATGATACCAAGCACTGATATTATAGCATATATACCACTCTGCTACAGGACTGACTGACACACACTATGTACAGCCACATGCAATCTCTATATATTTCTATAGTCATATGATACCAAGCACTGATACATAGCATATATACCCACTTCTGCTACAGACTGACAGACACACTATGTACATATACGCAATTCTCATATTTCTATAGTCATATGATACCAAAGCTAACTGATACATAGCATATATAAATTAATTTTGCCATAGACTGACGACACACCATGTACATACATGCAATCTCTATATTCTATAGTCATAAGGATACCAAGCACTGATACATAGCATATATACCACTCTGCCATAGACTGACAGACACACTATGTACATGCAATCTCTATATTTCCTATAGTCATATGATACCAAGCACCTGATACATAGCATATATACCACTCTCGCTACTGGACTGACAGGACACACTATGTACATACATGCAATCTCTATATTCCTATAGTCATATGATACCCAAGCACTGATACATAGCATATATACCACTCTGCCATAGAGTACATACATGCAATCTCTATATTTCCTATAGTCATATGATACCAAGCACTGATACATAGCAGATATACCACTCTGCTACAGACTGACAGGCACACTATGTACATACATGCAATCTCTATATTTCCTATAGTCATATGATACCAAGCACTGATACATAGCAGATATACCACTCTGCTACAGACTGACAGGCACACTATGTACATACATGCAATCTCTATATTTCCTATAGTCATATGATACCAAGCACTGATACATAGCAGATATACCACTCTGCTACAGACTGACAGGCACACTATGTACATACATGCAATCTCTATATTTCCTATAGTCATATGATACCGCTAACTGATACATAGCAGATATACCACTCTGCTACAGACTGACTTTCCTATAGTCATATGATACCAAGCACTGTTACATAGCAGATATACCACTCTGCTACAGACTGACAGGCACACTATGTACATACATGCAATCTCTATATTTCCTATAGTCATATGATACCAAGCACTGTTACATAGCAGATATACCACTCTGCTACAGACTGACAGGCACACTATGTACATACATGCAATCTCTATATTTCCTATAGTCATATGATACCAAGCACTGTTACATAGCAGATATACCACTCTGCTACAGACTGACAGGCACACTATGTACATACATGCAATCTCTATATTTCCTATAGTCATATAATACCAAGCACTGATACATAGCAGATATACCACTCTGCTACAGACTGACAGGCACACTATGTACATACATGCAATCTCTTCATTTCCTATAGTCATATAATACCAAGCACTGATACATAGCATATATACCACTCTGCTACAGACTGACAGGCACACTATGTACATACATGCAATCTCTTCATTTCCTATAGTCATATGGAATCCCTGCCAAAAGTCAAGATCTCGAGTCTCAGTATAACATCAGGATGATTTTATGGATCAATACTAAACAAGCACTGATACGATGCGTAAACCACCAGGTGCAAGACACCCAGATTCTGGTTCAGAAGACCTGTCTGACAGTGAAGTTACTATGAACAAAGAGTATAATTAACGCCCTGTATTTGCAATTCTATGATACAGCACACATCCTGGTCCGAGATGTATTGTGTTAATGGAGAACACCGACACCAGCGATAAAACGTGTTGTGTTTTCAGAAACACTCACCTTTGTGCATATAACAAACAGATCCTTCACATGAGCGCTGTGGGTACCGACACCCACTGACTATATACGACCCCCATGCCTACGTAACGACAACACTTCCGACACACATGGGCGGAGTTCGTCACGACATCGACCACGGTTCAGTGATCGCGAGATGGAGAGTCAAATTGTTATGTACATGCAGAAGAATAATCCAAATACCCCACGGATGACCCAGGAGATGACCCTGACCTGCCCCCATCCCCCACCCGTCAGGAAATGATACATCGAAACACGCCAGATTACATTCAGCGTGATGTATGTTCCGCCAAATGATTAAATTCAGCAACAGTTGTACAAACGGTTCGTTATTCCACAAAGTATTTACATGTGGGTGAGGTAAATGTCAAGTACGGAACTTTGATATGTAAGTCGGATGTAGGCGAGGCAAAACCTGACCAACTGGCCACGCCAAGTGCTACGTAAACATTAACCGGAAATCTTGAAATATATATGTGCGAAACCAACAGACAACAAAGAAATGTGATGTAATTGATAATTGTATTGTAAAATAAATTACGGTCAAATATCAAATGCAGATCAAAACAAAGCTATCACTATGGCAATGTAAAATAGTATGCATTCATTTTACTAAGGAATTGGAAAAGCAAGTTATGGATGATTGGGGTCGTAAAAACTGCTTTTTCAGCTCATTCAAGAGCGATTCTAGAGGCGTAGCAATCTTGTTCTCCAAGTAATTAGTCTATTCACTTGATGATGTGCAAAGAGATAATGAAGGTAATGTTTTGACCGTAGAACTGACTATTGATAATTATAAATTAGCCATCATCAATCTGTATGGTCCAAACACTGACAACCCTAGCTTCTATGACATTCTTGATTCAATAATACTGTCCCTTCAAAGTGACCATTGAATTGTCTGTGGGGATTGGAACGTAGTGCAAAATTACTCTATAGATACGTATAATTACAAACATAAAAATAATGTAAAGGCTAGAGATAGAATCGTACAACTGAAAGATGAACTTGACCTTCTAGACCCCTGGCGAGAAAGATATCCTAATTAAAAAAGATATACTTGGAGACAACCACAGGACCAAACGCCGGATAGCAAACTATTGAAATACTCGTAAATACAGTAGGTAATACATGTCATGACCGGATTTACGTATGTTTTCAGATATTTCCTAACTTCGGGCATATTTTTCATATAAATCTATATCTTTGAAACATATGCTCATCGTACATTTAAATGATGACCTAGTACCTCGTTCATGTATGCCATGACCGGATTGTCAAGTATTTCCAAACATGAATTGCAAAACAGATACCCCAGTAAATGCATGATCATACAGTATTTCCGATGCATTACCTTTGAATTTCAATGGGTGCTGAAATTTCCGATTTCGTTCTAAGTTTACTCAGGTTGGAAACGCGTAAATTTACGTAGGTAGGGAAACACATGTAAATTTGCAAATTTGCAAATGTTTACACACCTTAGATATTTATGTATCATACCGGATTTCATGGGTATGTATATGAACGGTTCATACACCTTCATGTTAACTGTGCTCAAGCAAGATGATCATTTGTTTCCATCATGTTAATTACTTGGTTCATGTAATTTCATTTTCACACATTTTAGTACGTTTGAAATTAACGTTCACGTGACCTCATTATTCTTATAATCAAAAGAGCCTGACTAAGAAAGCAATATTACGCAAGCTAACATGGCTTATTAAGCTGCACTCGCTCTTGCTACCAGTATCAGTTACGCTTTGTCTGCGGTATTGGCAAATCTTGTGAGTGGTGAACGAAAGGGCGATGAGCTGCCCCTTTGTCCTTGCAAGTGTCCCTAGCTGTCTCAACAGAATAGCACTTTATCTCTCTTGGAGCGCGGCCAAATACGCTACACGAACCAACTCGTAATTTCTTAAGTCTCTTCAGCTCGCACATCAGTACTGTAAAATAGTTTTTGGCAGTACATAATTGGAATATTATTGCACTGCATGTAACCTTTCTTAATCTCACAGTGCCTGAACTATGTTATTTCTCCTTCCGCTCAGCCTTTGCTGTAATAACGCCATACATGAACTTAAAGTTGTCCACATTTGTTTCATTAACACACACGTATACGATAACAAACATTGCCATATTAAATTATATATTCTGTGAGACATGAAATGAAAAAAAGTTTTCATTGTGTAGCGATTATGACCGGATAGCACAGGCGGGTGCGTTCTCTGAGTATACCATAGGCATGTTGGACCTCCGTGCCTGTTGTGTAAATTCGTCTTGATTGTCCTGTTTAAATTGACGATGCATAAACCCAGAGTCCGAAAGCAAATGTCACACAAGTAAATGTGATGTTGCAGTGCTGTAATTTTCAATGTCGGAGAAGTCCTTCTCACAAAATATATATTCTGTTGTTTGGAACAGGTCTATGATTATTACGCCCCAGACCTTTAGCCTGACATAGACGCAGACCTCGCATGTTCAAGTTCAGATCTGACAGGTGCCGAAAATATTGATTCCAACAAGAATGCAATATCTCAGTTGGTTATTGTTTTCCTAAGAGTGCTTTCTACAACATTGGAGATAATGGTATCGCTGTCCTTCTGATATTCCCCCGAACGGAAGCTCTACCCATTTAGGGTACAATGTGTAAGTTACAGATTTGTAGGGAATAGTCTTAAGTCATTTCTACTTTGACCAGGATTCTTCGAACTTGCAACAGTCGTTTGAGAAGATCAAGAGAGAAAGGGGTAGTGCGCGATGTATCTGGCGGACGTATATGGAGAAAGTTCGAAGAATGTTGCTGTATAAATACAATAATAGAAATACTGGTTATGTTTGAAAAGTACCCTCAATCTGATAGCCAGTGAGATTATTGTGAAAGATCGCAATATGTATCATCATAAACGGGCCCAGATGAAAGTACATGTCATTTATTTTCACATTATATCCCCTTTATAGACACGATACATGGTTGTTACAGGTAGGGCAAACACTTTCTTCTATAGGTATCTGCCGGTTTCACGCTACATGCATGTATTTAGATTATTGAGACAAGTAGTGACGCAGGTTCTCCTCCATCTCACATATAATTGTATAGATACCCAGTGATAAGGGATAGCACTGCAGCATTTACGACATACACTATCATCTGCAGTAGTACTGCCATACCTAGCATCGTATTTATTACTCTCTTACATAAGGTGAAATATCACAGGGTTGCCATGGTAACGATAACTTGGCATACTATTTAATGTCTTATTCTGTTATCTGCGATCAGAATTTAAATCAGTTTTGACGTGAGTATGTTAAGAGAAAAGAAGCTGTAAAACGAATATTAATTTGATCGAACCTATAGGCCTTTGTAAAAGCGAGTTTCAAGCCACCTACATAAAAAACCTTCATGATAAATATCCGTGGCACGATTCCAATCATATCATGAGCATGTGTTTGTGAATCATAATCAAATAGTGATGTTACAAGGCGTCCATGCCGCGTCAACAACACATGGAAACGCACGAGAATTGCAATACGGGCCCCTAAACCACTGATGCTCCGTGACCTGGAGACACATGTGATTGAGCGTATGTAGGGACGGGTAGAAGACAAAAGACAAAATGGATACTCGTGCTGTTATACTTTTTAATTATAAGTAAACATTCGTTCTTATAAATGTGTACTTTCCAGTTTCAACCAAATGTACATTCGAAGGATATCTAAATCTAGGTTAAGCTATTTGAATCATATTTACAATTAAAAGACCCAAACAATGGTCTGTTGTCAAAATATTTTGTTTTCCGTATCTTGTCCCAATCGGTATCCAGAGACCATATAATATGGTCTCTGCTGTATCATAGTCACAGAACGATATTATTTCCCCTTCCGCCCAGGCCTTACTGTAATGCTTACGCCCTAAAGAAGCATATCTAGATATTCCCAAGTTCAGCGTTTGTTATAATCTGCAGGAAAACTCACTGCAGGGTTCGGCTTACAGAGTAAACATACCAAACACCCATGGCTGGCGGGGACCAACATTTTCAGTAACTTTTACATCTGCCAACGCTTCATTCGCAAGTGGTGAGGCAATACGCTAATGACTCTAAGGGTCCTGCACCATGTTTGTGAAATATCTATGATGCCTTATAGGAAGTCTATTATCTAAGCAAGTCTAGCTATGTATGGCTTTAAGTCACCGTTGAGGAAAGGATCCTTTAGAATTATGTTTGGTAAATATTAGCATTTCACTGACTTAATCATATTGGAAAACACATGGCAATCTATTCTTCATTGTGACTATGGTTAAGATCATTGTAAAACACAACTTTATTTCCTTAGAGTTAACTGACAGGCTTTCGGTATCAAATATTTGGAACTCCGGCCAAAGGTGATGTTATGCTGTCTGGAAATATAGCGTTTTTGTAATGCTTTGGTTGCACTTAATGATAAGTGATTGTTAAATGTACATATGATGTTTTTGAAGGATAATCTCAGTTGACTCAGAGACTTTGCACGTGTTTTCCCCCACTCTTTCCACACCCATCCTTCAGTTTTTCTGTTTGTGACATGATCTGCACACTGATAATTTAAAACAGGTATATAAATAATAACTGTTTGCAATCTTTAACCAGTTTAGTTTTCCATTTATTTAGCAATTTTCAGTTTCTATTATTTCCTGGAAATTTTGTACGGCGGTACATTTAATAGTTTCACCCAATAACAGTAAAGTATACAGATAATACGTTTCGGTACTTTGATAGGTTAATAAGTTTACATTATATTCCATGATATTGGGATGCCAAAATGATTAACATTATTATATAATGTATAACAAATCAGACAGCAAAAAGCAAAAATTAAAAACGCATGAGCAACATAAATGATGTCAGGTAGTAAGCTTTCAATAATTACAGAAACTGCTTAGTTATCTAACTTTATGAACTAATTGCAGTCACTAGAGTTGTCTATATATAATCTACCCCAGGAAGGAATCAAATTGGTGTACAGTATATTCCGACGGGTAACTGAAACTTGAGAAATCGTCCGTATGGGACAATATCTGTATTCC